AATTAATAGAAACTCTCTTTGAGGAAGCACAGACATTGGACTTAGTAGACAAACATTTAAAATCAGTTATCTCAAATATGTTCAAAGAGCTAATGGAAGTGATGGACAACAAACTAAAGGAAACCAGGAGAATTAGCCGGGTACAGTGGCTCACGCCTGTCCCAACACTTTGGGAGGCCAAGGCAGGCAGATCACTGGAGACCAGCCTGGACAACATGGTGAAACCCTGTCTCTACTAAAAAATAATACAAAACTTAGCCGGGCACAGTGGCAGGCACTTGTAATCCCAGCTACTCGGAAGGCTGAGGCAGGAGAATCCCTTGAACCTGAATGGGAGAGGTTGCAGTGATCTGAGATTGTGCCACTGCACTCCAGTCTGGGTGACAAAGCGAGACTCCATCTCAAAATAAATAAATAAATAAACAAATAATAAAGGAAACCAGGAAAATGATGTAGACACAAATAGAGTGTATCAATAAAGAGAAAGTATAAAAAGGAACCAAACACAGATTTTGGAGCTGAAAAGTACAATAACTGAAATGAAAAATCTGTTAGAGGGGTTTTCCATCAGATTTGAGTAGGCAGAAGAGTGAATCAGGGAACTTAAATAAAAGTCAGTTGAGGACATTCAGCCGGCCATTTGGGGCGATGGACTTTCTATCCCAGAACCATGGCCCAATTTATCTGTAACCTTGTGGAGAAGACCCTGGGGCTGGTGAATGCTGCTGTGACTTATTCGAAGTTAGCCACATTTTGGTATTACACCAAGGTTGAGCTGATTCCTCCCACCCCTGCTGAGATCCCTAGAGCTATTCAGAGCCTGAAAGAAATAGTCAATGGTGCTCAGACTGGTAGCTTCAAACAACTCACAGTTAAGGAAGCTGTGCTGAATGGTTTGGTGGCCACTGAGGTGTTGATGTGGTTTTATGTCGGAGAGATCATAGGCAAGTGTGGCGTCATTGGCTATGATGTTTGAAGACCAATCTTTAACATCTGATTATATTTGATTTATTATTTGAGTGTTGCTGGAGCATCTGTGATCAGACTGCTATCTGAATAAAATAAGATGTGTTAAAAAATTCAATTGAAATTACTAACTGAGATGCAGAAAGAAAACAGCATGAGGAAAAATGAACAGAACATAAGAAACCCATAGAACATCATGTGTGTCAACATAAGAATCTTAGGAAAGGAGAGAGAGAAAGGGGCAGAATATTTGAAGAAATAATTGTCAAAAACTTTCTAAATTTCGTAAGACATGAACTACATACACGTTCAAAAGGCTCATTGGACTTCAAGAAATATAAAGTGATCCACACTGAGAAGCATTATAATGAAACTGTATTTTACAAAGCCAAGAACAAAGAGAGAATCTGGAAAGCAAAAGAGAAGCTACTTGCCCCATACAATGGATCATCAATAAAATTAATAGCATGTTTATCATCAGAAAGCATGGAATCCAGAATTGAGTTGGATAATTTTTTTAAAGAGCTGAAAGTGGGGGAAAACTGTAACCAATAACTCTATATCTAACAAAACCATTCCCTCAAAGATTATTTGAATTTTGCAATGGAATGTTAGTTGTAACACCAAAAGCAAGAACAACCAAAGAAAAAAATAATTGCATTTCATCAAAATTTGAAAGTTTTTTGTTGTTTTTGTTTTTTGAGACAATCTCACTCTGCCACACAGGCTCGAGTGGAGTGGCACCATCACAGCTCACTGCAACCTCAAACTCCTGGGCTCAGATGATCCTCCCGCCTCAGCTTCCTGAATAGCTGGGACCACAGATGTGCACCACTACACCCAGCTGATTTTTATTTTTTATTTTTATTTTTTGAGATGGAATTTCACTCTTGTTTCCCAGGCTGGAGTGCAATGGCATGATCTTGGCTCACTGCAACCTCCACCTCCTGGGTTCAAGTGATTCTTCTGCCTCAGCCTCCTGAGTAGCTGGGATTACAGGGACCTGCCATCACACCTGACTCATTTTTGTATTTTTTATTAGAGACAGGGTTTCACAGCCGGGCATGGTGGCTCCCACCTGTAATCCCAGCACTTTGGGAGGCCGAGGCAGGCAGACCTCGTGAAACCCCAACTCTACTAAAAAAAAAAAAAAAAAAAAATTAGCCTTGATGGTGAGTGCCTGCAGTCCCAGCTACTCGGGAGGTTGAGACAGGAGAATTGCTTGAACCCAGAAGGCAGAGGTTGCAGTGAGCCGACTGTGCCATTGCACTCCAGCCTGGGTGACAAAGCAAGACTCCATCTCAAAAAAAAGAGAGACAGAGAGACAGGGTTTCACAATGTTGGTCAGGCTGGTCTTGAACGCCTGACCTCAGATGATCCACCCACCTCGGCCTCCCAAAGTGCTGGGATTACAGATGTAAGCCACTGCGCCTGGCCACACCCAGCTAATTTTTGTATTTTTTATAGAGATGGGGGTTTGCCATGTTGCCCAGGCTGCTCTTGAACTCCTGGGCTCAAGTGATTCTCCTATGTCAGCTTCTCAAAGTGCTGGGATTACAGGTGTGAGCCACTTCACCTGGCAAAACTTAAAACTTTTATACATCAAGGGATATTATTTTTAAAACTGAGAAGACAACCTATAGAATGGGAGATAGTGTTTGAAATATACATCTGATAAGAGTCTACTAACTAGAATACATAAAGAACTCTTGGCCGGGCGCAGTGGCTCATGCCTGTAATCCCAGTACTTTGGGAAGCTATGGCGGGCGGATCACGAGGTCAAGAGATCGAGACCATCCTGGCCAACATGGTGAAACCCCATCTCTACTAAAAAAATTTTTTTAAAAATTAGCCAGGCATAGTGGCACTTGCCTGTAGACCCAGCCAGTTGGGAGGCTGAAGCAGAAACATTGCTTGAACCCCAGAGGCAGAAGTTGCAGTGAGCCAAGCTCGTGCCACTGCAGTGCTTGCAGCCTGGCAACGGAGCAAGACTCTGTCTCAAAAAAAAAAAAAGGGAACTCTTACAGCTTAACAACAAAAAAACACAATTCAATTTAAAAATAGACGACTAAAAATTTACTTGAATACATGTTTCTCCAGAGACATTTAGTGATCATCAAGCACATGAAAAGATGCTCAACATAATTAGTTACTAGGGAATTGCAAGTCAAAACAATGAAATTCTACTCAGTAAGATTATTAGAATTTTTAAATGGAAGGTTTTGGTGAGTGGGGAAATTAAGGACTCTCATATAGTGCTGGTAGAAATGTAAAATGGTGCATCCACCGTGGAAAACAGTTGGCAGATTCTCAGCAAGAATTTCCATGTACCCGCAATTCCATTTCTAGGTATATACCAAAATAATTGAAAACAGATACTCAAATACTTGAACACAGTGTTCATAGTCCCACTACTCACAATAGCCAAAAGGTGGAAACAGTCTATACATCTATCAGTGGATGATTGGTTAAACAAGATGTAGTATATACACACCATGGAATGTTATTCAACCATAAAAAGGAATAAAGTACGGGTACACGCTACAACATGGTTGGACCTCACAAACATGGTAAGTGAAGGAAGCCAGACATAAAAGGTCATATGTTGAATTATTCCATTTATATAAACTATCCAGAATAGGCAAATCAATAGGACCAGACAGCAGATTGGTAGTTGTTAAGGTCTGGGGGAAGTGGATAATGGTAACTAATGGATGATTTTTTAATTGACACATAAGAAAATGTTTTGAAACTTAATAAAAGGTGGTCACACAGCATTTTCTATGTACTAAATGCCACTGAATTGAATGATTTATAATAATTTCATATTATACCATTTTCACATCAAAAATAAATAGTTTTGTTTGGGCACAGTGGCTTACATCTATAATCCCGACACTTTGGGAGTTCAGGACCAGCCTGGGTGACATAGTGAGACCTTGTCTCTATTTAAAAAAAAAAAATTAGCCAGCAGCACATACCTGTAGTCCCAGATACTTGAGAGGCTAAGGCAGGAGGATTGCTTAAGTCCAGAAGGTCAAGGCTGCAGTGAGCTGAGATTGCACCACTGCACTCCAGCCTGGGCTACAGAGCAAGATTCTGTAGGTAGGTAGGTAGGTAGGTAGCTAGAGACCCTGTCAGAAGAGAGAGAGAGAGGATTTTTTTTTTAATCACAGTGTAACAGTGCTTCACACCCACTAGAATTGCTGATGGGAATGTTAAATGTACAGCCACTTTGGAAATTGACTTGCCAGTTTCAAATGTTCTTTAGGTATTGGATGGATAAACAAAATGTAGTATATACATACAATGGAATACTATTCAGTAATAAAGCACAAACAATTGATATCTGCCACAATAATAGATGAACCACAAAAACATGGAAAGTCAAAGGGACCAAAATTTTTAAAGCCATGTGTTTTATCATTTTATTTATATGAATAGTTGAGAAAAGACAAATCTGTAAGAGACAAAGCGTAGATTAATGGTTTCCTATTGCTGAGGGTGGTAACAGGAATTGACTAAAAATACGTCAATTTTTAGACCAGGGGTCTTTGTGGATTAACTGAAATGTTCTAAATGTTCTCAAACTATTCTCAAAGTGTTGGTTGCACACATCTGTAAAGTAACCAAAATCACTGAGTTGTACACTTAAAATAGGTAAGTTTTATATTTATGTAAATTATTCCTCAATAAAGCTGTTTTGAAGAACATCATTGGTTACATGAACATGCTACAAAAAGTAATTAATTAATTAGAAACAACAGTTGTTCTTTCTCTAGTTTTTTACATTTTTAATTTTTTCCTAGAATCCTTTCCTGAAGTAATTGTTCCTGATACAATTTCTATGACTCTTGAAATTGGTTTATCAATAGAAACAGTATTGTTTTACTAATTGAATTTTGGCAGTCTCTTGTAATTACATCTAAATGTTTCGTGGTTTTTCTTATAAAACTTCTAATGATAATGTATGTGCATTGCCGCCTGTTTCATACAACTTTAGTTGATAAATTGAATTTCTTTTGTATATACAGAGGATGGTTAGAACGAGAGAGCAGGTATGGTCTGCAACCAGGACACAACTGGTTTATCATCTCTATGCAGTGGTGGCAACAGTGGAAAGAATATGTCAAATACGTGAGTTAGATTTCTGTCTGTTTACATTTTTCACAGGATTTTCAACTCCATCAGACTTCATGTGACTACCAGCCAATAATAAAATGCTCCGACTTAGATAAAGATTCAAAGGGAAAGGAAATGAGTGTTTATATGATACTTACTATGGGCTAGGCTTTGCGATTACACTTCACGTAAATTTCTTCCCTTGCAACAACTCCATGAAAAAGATAATATTGGGCACAGGGGTACTTGTATATATCACACACTTCACATCTCATTTAATTCTCGTAACACCCTTGTAAGGAAGATAATATTATGCCCATTTTACCTGTGGGGAACCTGGTGCTGAAAGAAAAATAACCTGAATATTGTGATCAGGGTAGAAGGTCTGGGATCAAACCTAGGGACTGACTTTAAAGCTTATGTTCTCTCAACTACATCATTTACATTGTTCTTTATTTCATCTTTCCCATTAAAATGGAATTTTTTTCAGACTAGAAAACTGAAAAGAATAATGCCAAGAATCAGTTGCCTTCTTGGAGAGCCAGTTGATATATACACTCATTGTCATTGCCAAATGATCACTAACCAAAATTCTAATCATTTGATTCCTATTTGCCTGTATTTCTTCTATCACTGCTTATTATCAGAATATTGGCAGTTAGATACTTTTTACATTATATTTCTCATCACTCTTTTTCATCCTTTTCCCATTTTGCAGAGTTTATTAATGTGTTTTCACATGTAAAATATATTAATTGGGAAACATGGACTTTGGTGTCTCTGAAGGAATAAAAGTAGGCAAATGACTTCCTGGACCTTGTAGGTAGATAGTGATGGTGAGTGTAGGTAGAAAATGAGAACATTGGGGTACAGCATCAGTCATTATTTTGAAATACTTTTTTGGTTTTTAAATTTGTAGTTTAGCTGGGCATGGTGGCTCACGCCTATAATCCCAGCACTTTGGGAGGCTGAGGCGGGTGGTCAAGAGATCGAGACCATCCTGGTCAACAAGGTGAAACCCCGTCTCTACTAAAAATACAAAAATTAGCTGGGCATGGTGGTGCGCGACTGTAGTCTCAGCTACTCGGGAGGCTGAGGCAGGAGAATTGCTTGAACCCAGGAGGCGGAGGTTGTGGTGAGCCGAGATAGTGCCATTGCACTCCAATCTGGGTAACAAGAGTGAAACTCCGTCTCAAAAAAAAAAAAAAAAAATTTGTAGTTTGGCCATAGAATGAGTGGTTGTTAATGTTTTAATGAGTGTAGACTCAGAGAATAACCTAGTTTTGTCTTGTATGTATTACGTTTTGTTTTCTGTAGGAACACAATAGAGGTCTTACTCTTAACAGCGTGTCCCATACAAACAGACTGAACTGCACTGACAAGAACATGAACCTGGTTTGTTGTTGCCTACCATAATCCTTTTGTGCACTAAAGGAATTTGGGGATGGTAGTAAGGGAGAGGTATACATGGGAGAATCTACCTGTTTCCTTCTCCACTCTGGCATTTGATACTATTTTCTAGCATGTGTGTGTCAAGTCTAGTTAAGAATGTAGTCTGGCTGTGCCTATAATCTCAGGACTTTGAAAGGCCCAGGTAGGGAGATCACTTGAGCCCAAGAATTCAAGACCAGCCTGGGCAACATAGTGAGACTCCATCTCTACAAAAAATTTTTTTAAAATTGATCGGGCTTGGTAATGTGCACCTGTAGTCCCAGCTGCTTGGGAGGCTGAGATGGGAGGATTGCTTGAGCCTGAGAGGTCAAGGCTGCAGTGAGCCATGATCGCACCACTGAACTTGAGTTGGGGTAACAGAGCAAGAGCCTGTTTCATAAAATAAATGAATAAATAAAGACTAGCTGAGAGTTACAAGAAACCAGGGAAGGGACAAGTATCGCTTTATATGAAGATAAAGGAGGCAGAGAACTGTGGGAATTTATTCAATAAGATGGGGAAAAAATGTAAATGGAGTAACAGCAGTACTTCCTAAAACTACATATTAATTAGAAAAGTGTTTTTTACTAAATAGAGAACTATGGCACGTTACTAATAAGGTGGGAATTGACTAATAACAATCCTCTGAACGTGTCTTAATTAGAAAAGTGTTCTATAGTAAATAAAAAGTAACTTTCTTTTAAATGCAAATAACTACACACTGACAGTTTTTTTTGTTGTGGGGGGGGCGGAGACAGAGTCTCATTCTGTCACCAGGTGCCAGGCTGGAGTGCAGTGACACAATCTCAGCTCACTGCAACCTCTGCCGCCTGGGTTCAAGCAATTCTCCTGCCTCCGCCTCCCGAGTAGCTGGGACTACAGGTGCACGCCAGCACGCCCAGCTAATTTTTGTGTTTTTAGTAGAGACGGGGTTTCACCATGTTGGCAAGGATGGTCTCAATCTCTCGACCTCATGATCCGCCCGCCTCAGCCTCCCAAAGTGCTGGGATTACAGGCTTGAGCCACTGTGCCCGGCCACACTGACAGACTTTTAAAAATGTTTTTAAAGTAAATTCAAATAACCTTTTTTTTTGAGACGAGTCTTGCTCTGTCGCCAGGCTGGAATGCAGTGGCATGACCTCAGCTCACAAGTTCAAGTGAGTCCCCTGCCTCAGCCTCCTGAGTACAGAGGCGTGCCACCACACCCAGCTAATTTTTTGTATTTTAGTAGAGATGGGGTTTCACCACAGCCAGGATGGTCTCAATCTCCTGACCTCGTGATCTGCCTGCCTCAGCCTCCCAAAGTGCTGGGATTACAGGTGTGAACTACCACGCCCAGCCTCGAATAACCTTTTTTAAAAAGTGACATTCTGGGCCTTGCTTCCTCCATTTGTAAAATTAGAGTAATAATAATCTCCCTCTTGGTGTTATGAGGATTAAATGAGTTTGATGCATGTTAAGTGTTTTTGTTGGTTTGTTTGTTGAGACAGGATCTTTCTTTGTTGCCCAGGCTCTAGTGTAGTGGCATAATCATAGCTTGCTACAGCCTCGGGCAATTCTTCCACCTCCTGAGTAGCTGAGACTACAGGCACACACTATCATACCTGGCTAATTTTTTCATCTTTCTGTAGAGATGGGGTCTCACTATGCTTGCCAGGCTGGTGTCAAACTCCTGGGCTCAAGCAGTGTTACTGCCTTGGCCTCTCAAAGCACTAGGATTGCAGGCATGAACCACTACAACCAGCTCCTTGTTAAGTATTTTTAAACAGTGTCTGGTACATAGTAAGTATTAAATAGGTAGCTATTATTATGAGAAACTTGAATAAGGTAATTTGTAGTGAGCTTGGACTCTTGTCCCTTCCACTTGCTTTATGAAGCATAAATTACTACTTCTTGTTCTTCCTCAGTTTTTACATATGAACAATGAAATTAATAATAATACCTTTTTAATTACAGATGTGAGAATTAAATGAGTTAATTCACTTAGCTCAGTGCCTGGCAGATAGAAACTCTATATAAGATTAAAGGTAATAATGGAGTTAGTAGTAGTAATAGTTATAGTAGTAGCAGTAATTTTAGTATTAGCAGCAGTAGTAATTAATTCATTATTTAAATTTCTCCTTTCAGGCTGGGCATGGTGGCTCATGCCTATTATCCCAGCACTTTGGGGAGGCCAAGGCAGGCAGATCACTTGAGGCTGGGAGTTCAACACCAATCTGACCAACATGGAGAAACCCCGTCTCTATTAAGAATACAAAAATTAGCCAGATATGGTGGTGCATGCCTGTAATTCTAGCTACTCAGGAGGCTGAGGCACGAGAATAGCTTGAACCTGGGAGGCAGAGGTTGCAGTGAGCCAAGATCATACCACTTCACACAAGCCTGGTGACAGAACGGACTCTGTCTCAAAAACTTCAAATTTCTCTTTCCAGTCCATTTGGCAGCTTTGACAAATTCCTTGTTTAAAAAATAAAAAAATTAGGGTAGGTGTAGTGGCTCACACCCATAATCCCAGCTCTTTGGGAGGCTGAGGCAGGCAGATCACTTGAGACCTGGAGTTCCAGAGCAGCCTGGCCAACATGGTGAAACCCCACCTGTACTAAAAATACAAAAACTAGTCAGGTGTGGTGGTGCGCACCTGCAGTTCCACCTACTTGGGAGGCTGAATCAGGAGAATTGCTTGAACCCGGGAGGCAGAGGTTGCAGTGAGCTGAGATCGTGCCACTGCACTGCAGCCTAGATGACAGAGCAAGACTCCCATCTCACAAAAGAAAAAAAAAGAAAATTAGTGTTGACATGTCAGATAATTTGATCTTACTCGGAGCTTCATTTGCCTACCTAAGATAGTACTTGGCTTTAGTATTTTTTCTTCATAAAATGACATATTTACCTATGTGAATTACTAAATTGTGATGGCAGTATGTTTCAAATACTAGCATGACTAAATGGAACGATCAGAGACCAAGGGATCAGGAAAAATGAGCCATCCTTTCTTAGAAGTAGCTAACCCACAGATTTGCTGATTCACTGGAGTATGAATAATTTGATTTTATCTCTGCTCATGGAATCTTACCAATCTTTCCCCACTTTAGTGTGTAAAGCTTTATTCTTCTTTGTGCAGTCTCCTATAAAAATTTAAATGGGGAAGAATGGTGAAATCTTTTCTGTTTATCATCATTGTAGTACGTAGTTATTATGTAACTTTAGAGCTAGAAAGTACTTTAAAGAACCTCTGGGCCGGGCACAGTGGCTCACACCTTTAATCCCAGCACTTTGAAAGGCCGAGGCGGGTTGATCACAAGGTCAAGAGATCGAAACCATCCTGGTCAACATGGTGAAACGCCATCTCTACTAAAAATACAAAAAATTAGCTGGGCACAGTAGCGTGTGCCTGTAATCCCAGCTACTCAGGAGGCTGAGGCAGGAGAATTGCCTGAACCCTGCCTCATTGTGGTTGTGGTGGGCCAAGATGGCGCCATTACACTCCAGCCTGGGTAACAAGAGCGAAACTCCGTCTCAAAAAAAAATAATAATAATAAAGCACCTCTCGTGCCTCTCTCCCTGGGCTGTGGGGGTTCCCCATTCTCCTCAGCCAAGGCTGAAGGCCAAGAGCAGCCCTCGAGGATCGTAGTCAGGACTGCCACTAGTAGGGCAGCCTTGTTTTCCTGCCTCAGACATGTGTAGTTGAGGGGGAAATAAAAGGAATGAAACACCTCTCTTATCTGAATTTACAGATGAAGCCTCTGAGGTCTTTAGTTTTTATAATTCCCCAAGGCTGTATTAGACAATTATTTTATTACCTGATCTAGCACTCTAGAGCTCAGTATCCTGAGTCCTTAGTACCTAATCCTTTACTTCATGCTGCCATCTATTTTTCCAAAACCAGGATTTCAGACTACTGAAATATGAAATTCACATAATTGTTTAAGATCATTGATGCTTGTAGCATACCTATGTACGGAGCATAAAAAGTAGTGGTATTATCAATAGAGGAAAAGGTGAATCTTGACCCATATTTTAGAACACAAACTATTCATACAACTCACAGGGAATCATAAAATCTCAAAATAGGCGGGGCGCAGTGGCTCACGCCTGTAATTCTAGCATTTGGGAGGCCGAGGTAGGTGGACCACCTGAGGTCAGGAGTTCAAGACCAGCCTGGCCATCATGGTGAAACCCCATCTTTTATTTAAAAAAAAAAAAAAAAAAATCTCAAAACAGAATTCTCTTATATTAAAATATTTCATCCTTTTATGAATTGTTGACTCAGAGAAAGTGAGGAAATTTCTCGCTACAGGCGAAACTTTACCTATTTAGAAATCTATCTTCTGAAAACCAGGATTCTAGGATAATTTCAGATAGTTCCAGACCCCTGAAGTTAATAAAAACAAAACAAGATCCTTTGACTTTTAGAAAAACAAAAATTATAGACACCAGAAAAAGTTTCAACCTTTTATTTCATGTTGTTCTGTTGTGCTTTGTCCAAATGAACCTTTATGAGCTGGCTGCCATCCAGTTTCGCTTGGGAAGACCAAGTCCTCAAGGATTGTATCATGCACAGCTGTCAGTGTACAGCTTCTGGGACGCATTTGCTTATTTTTTTATGGCTTTTCTGAGTTGGCTTAGGCAGAATTCTCCTCTAAGCGATAAAGATAACATGCTTCCCACTGAACTTTTTCTCCAATTCACATACTTTCCAGACTTGGATTTTTTTTTTTCAGTTGAGGAATGGGAACAAAGATTATGATAGGTTTCCGACCACCAAGTTCAATTTCCTTGGCTGCCGTAATATTTAGCTCCCTGAGCAGAGCCTTGAAGTCCGAGTTCGTCTCCAGCTCCAGAAGACCCGGGGAGATGCTGGGCTCGAACTCATCTGGCTTCTCGTCATTGGGCTTCATGATCTTGGCGCTCGAACTGAACATGGCGCTCTGCTTGGTGAGCGCTGACTTAGGAAGAGACCCAAATCTCACAAGAACACGTCAAAATCCCCCCCACTGCCCTTTTTATTTGAGACAGAATCTTGCTGTGTTGCCAGGCTGGAGTCCAAAATTCATGTGTAATATAGATTTCTAGTTCATAGTCATCTTTTTTTTTTTTTTTTTTTTTACTATGGGCACCATTTTTTTAATATAATGCTATATAATTCACTTAGATAAATTATTTTGACATTTTATACTTAAAAAAATTTTTGGCTAGTCAAGTGAAGCAGTGGGAATGGACAAGGAACAAAGAAATCTTTGTAACTGGTTGTGATTAATTCGTTGTTTAAACATATTTTCTTTTCTTTTTTTTTGAGACAGGCTAGAGTGCAGTGTGGTGCCATCTCGGCTCACTGCAACCTCCGCCTCCTGGGTTCAAGTGATTCTCATGCCTCCCCTCCCAAGTAGCTGGGATTACAGGCACATGCCACCATACCCAGCTAGTTTTTGTATTTTTAACAGAGATGGGGTTTCACCAGGTTGGCCAAGATGGTCTCAATCTCCTGACCGCATGATCCACCTGCCTCAGCCTCCCAAAGTGCTGGGATTACAGGCATGAGCCACCACACCCGGCTATTTAAACATATTTTCAAAGGAAACTTTATATCACTACTTTAAGTAGAAAACTATTGTCAGCTGGGCATGGTGGGTTCTGTTTATAATCCTAGCAATTGGGAGGGGTCCAGGCAGGAGTATTGCTTGAGACAAGGAGTTCAAGACTAACCTGGCCAACATAGCGAGACCCTGTCTCCAAAAAAAAAAAGCTAGGTGCAGTGGCTCAGACCTGTAATCGCAGCACTTTGGGAGGCCAATCAAGGCAGGCGCATCTCAGGTGATCCAGACCAGGTTGGCCAATATGGTGAAACCCTGTCTCTACTAAAAATACAACAATTAACCGAGCATGGTGGCACATGCCTGTAATTCCAGTGACTTGGGAGGTTGAGGTAGGAGAATCACTTGACCCTGGGAGGTGGAGGTTGCAGTGAGCAACTCTAGCCTGGGCAACAGAGTGAGACTCAAAAAAATAAAATTAAAATTAAAAAAGGAAAGAAAAAAAAGAAAAAATAAAATAAAATAAATAAATAAATGAAAATTAAAATTAAAAAAAAAGGAAAGAAAACTAGTGTCACTTGCCAGAAATAGAAGGCAATAATATTAAATTCCAGCTAATAGAGTTGCCTTTTGAAACTCTTCTATTTAGGACTGTTCTTTTTTAAAAACAAATTATCAAATGTTAGATTAGCATATTAGCACGAAACTGAGACCTTTTCCTTGAAGTAATGAGAGGATTGAAAGAGAATTGAATAGGGAATAAGTTTTCTATTGTACTTTCCCCTTACATTAAGAAAATATTCTAACATTTGGATCTGTAACAGAATGTGAATATTTATACTTCTGAATTGTTTAGAGTTTTGACAGTAAGACTGTATTGCTATTTAAAAATTTTAATCCATTAAAGTCAATTGGTATGTGGAAAGAACTAAGATTTTATTCTAATTCTTCTTGACACTCTTAAGAGTTAAGAGTACCTTTAAAAGGCACTGGAATTCTTCGGAGTTGACTTCTAAAGGATCCACAGATTGGTAGTATTCACCTGGTTTACAGATAAAAGAGGAGAAAAGAACTAATAAAATGTTGATCACTGTCTCCCTTTGTGGGCTAAAATTAGGGTTGTTACAATTGTTTTAAAAAAAACAAATCTCAGCTCTGCTGTTGATATACTATGACATGGAGTTTTTCTTTTAAATTTGATGTTGCAGTTCATCATTATAAACAGTGACTTCAAGACCCACATTCACTGATCAGTTTTATCTACTATAAAGCAAGTCAAAAAAAATAAAAAATAAAGCAAGTCATTGATGTTGCAGTTCATCATTATAAACAGTGACTTCAAGACCCACATTCACTGATCAGTTCTATCTACTATAAAGCAAGTCAAAAAAAATAAAAAATAAAGCAAGTCAGAGTTTATATTGAATGGCACTAAGTTCTTCCACCTGTGCTATTACCGGTCTCCTCAGATGCCTGTGGGATCTTGTTCCACTCATTAATCCCTTTAGTCTTTTTATCCTCTCAGTCACAGTTAAATTTTCAAAGATAGTCATCTCCAGGACTCTCTCTAGCCATAAACATAATTTCATTAAATTAAATGCACCTTACATCGATTCTACATATACTTCAGCCCAAAATTTGGAGATTATTTTGTTAAAATACTGAGAAAGAATTCAGATGCCTCCCATAATTCCCTCTAGGTGTTGGTACTTACTTAAAACTTAATGTTTCCACACCTGTAGGGAAGATGCTATGGTATTTCTGTGGCCCAGCTGAATTGAGTTGATTGCTGTTATTCTGATACAGTAGCAGATCTCTCTCTTGAAAACACTGGCAGATACACATTCTCATGGTACCTTCCCTTCTCCTCAAGTCTGTCTTCTCTTTTTTTTCACTGTTAAACTTAGTGGAAAATAATTCTATGCTAGAGATTTCTGCTTCTAAGACTTTAGAGTTTCCTGATTTTTCTTTGCCTCTCTAACCATTCAGACTCATCGTCCCTGACAAGGTTAATATTACCTAATATTACCCTAACTTTTACCCATGAAGAAACTGAAGCTTAGAAGTTTAGTTATTGTAAAAGGTCACATAGCTATAAGTCATAGCATTGCCCTTCACTCTAGGTACGTACACCACTCATCTTTTACATATAAATTTTCTTTTCAGTCACAAGAACTAAAACACACAGTTATTGTTAAATGATGGAATCTGAGTACATGTGATTTTTTTTCTTCATGCTTTCTATATTTTCTACATTGACCATATAATCTTTAATAATAAAAAAATTATATATATTCATGTTGTATGGGAAATAAGGTAAAAAATAATAAACTTCATTTACTTTTAATATTAAAGGCTTCCAATAGAATAAAGTCGAAATTACTTTATGTGGTACAAAATGCTTCACAGGCTGGTCTGGCTACCTCACCAATTTTATCTATATACATACTTTTCCTTCTTAAAGAAATTAAAATTTAGCCATATGTTAGAATGTTGTTAAATGTCTGTGGCCACCCACAGGAGAATCAGAAAAATAGGTAATTGTGAGATTCCTTTCTGAAGACTGTGTAGCTGTCAGATTATTAAACTTTGCTTCTTATTCTCTGATTTCATGATTTTAGGATGCCAACCCTGTGGTAATTGAGCCATCATCTGTTTTGAATGGAGGAAAATATTCATTTGGAACAGCAGTACATCCTATGGAGCAGGTCGAAGATAGAATTGGAGGCAACCTCAGTTATGTGAATTCTACGGAAGAGAAGTTTTCAGACAACATTTCTACTGCATCTGAAGCCTCAGAAACTGCTGGCAGTGGTAAATATTAAAGCAGGAAAGGAGGAGAAGCAAACCTCTTAAACACCTAACTGAGAAGGAAGTGGTGATTTATACCATCACTGCCAGGGGCTGCGGCAGGTCTGGATGCCCCAGATAGCTGAGCCCCCAAACAAACAAAATCCCTGCCCTTATAAAGGCTTACTACTCTAGAAATTACATGTGAAAGGGTCTTGGTCCATGGAGTAGGCATGGGGTATGTGGCTTAGGTGGGGGTTTGATCCTGTTTATGTAAAAACAATGCCTTCTAGAAAGATTCCTCCATACCATGCCTGTGATCTATAGGAGGACAATTAAGGTGGCACCCAGTCTGCCAGCCTTTACTTCTCCTATTGAAATGCAATGTGGAAGTCAAGGGGGAGGTGGTCTTAAATGCTTAGGTCTCCTTCCTCAATATGACCTATTCCCCTGAAGTTTATTGGTTTGTTCCCTATGGATTGTTCTTAAAGGAGTCTAATTTGACAGAGGCTGTAGCGAATGGGGTAATAGGAGATCAGGTTTCCATGAACAGAAATATGTTTTGAATGAAATGGTCAGAAGAATGTAAAATTCTTGAATATATTTGTAGTTTTATGAAGAAAACCTCTTTTCCATATTATACTTCATTAAATCTCTAAATATGAAAATATTTTTACTATTTTCTTTTGAGACAGGGTCTCGCTCTGTCACCCAGACTGGAGTGCAGTGGCATAATCATGACTCACTGCAACCTCTGCCTCCCAGGTTCAAGTGATTCTCCTGCCTCAGCCTCCCAAGTAGCTGAGACTACAGGTGCCTGCCACCACACCTGGCTAATTTTTTGTATTTTTAGTGGAGTTGGGGTTTCACCATGTTAGCCAGGATGATCTCGATCTTCTAACCTTGTGATCTGCCCACCTTGGCCTTCCAAAGTACTGGGATTACAGGCGTGAGCCATCGCACCCAGCCCAATTTTTTGTGTGTTTTTGTAGAGATGGGGTTTCGGCATGTTGCCCAGACTGGTTTCAAACTCCCAGGCTCAAGAGATCCTTCAGCCTCAGCCTTGTAAAGTGCTGGGATTACAGGCATGAGCCATCACACCCAGCTATTTTCACTATTTTCATTGATCAAGCCACATCTTTCCATATTGTTATTAAATTATTTAGTCTGTAAATTTAAATTTTCAAAGATAGTCATCTCCAGGGCTCTCTCTAGCAATAAACATACTTTCCATAAATTAAATGCACCTCACATCAGATTCTATGTATATTTCAGCCCAAAATTTGGAAATTATTTTGTTAAAATACTAAGAATTCAGATGCCTTCCATAATTCCCTTTAGGTATTGTTACTTATCTAAAACTTAATGTTTCCACACCTGTAGGGAAGATGCTATGGTATTTCTGTGGCACAGTTGAATTGAGTTGATTGGTATTATTCTGATACAGTAGCAGAACCCTCAGTCTTACCCTGTTATTTATGTGTTTAAAGAGACAGGGTGTTGCTCTGTTGCCCAGGCTGTAGTGCAGTGGCACGATTATAGCTCACTGTAACCTCCAGTTATTGGGTTCAAACAATCCTCCTGCCTTAGCCTACATAGTAGCTAGGACTACAGCTGTACACTGCCACACATGACTAATTTTTTAATTGTTTTGTAGAGACAAGGTCTCATGTTGCCCATGCTGGTTGCAATCTTTTGGCTTCAAGTAGTCCTCCAGCCTTGGTCCCCCCAAAGTGCTAAGATTACAGGCATGAGCCACTGCACCTGGCCTGTGTTATTATTTCTTCCAACATGTTCTTTTCCTTTTCTGTGGAAATTGTAAGCAAATAGGACAGAGCTAGCATTTTCTTTACAAAGCTCCTTGATAGAATCTGCTGCTTTCTTCCCTTTCTGGTATTACAAAGATCACTTAGCAGTCCAAGAAGTGCTATCATCAGCTTTAACATCAGGATTATTTCTTAACCCCATCTAAAGATCCTGTTTGGTATGTGCTTACCGTATAAGCTGTGACACCCAAAGGCTGAGCATAACACAGGCAAAAGGTTACAAAGCAATGACTGCTAGACTTTTGCCAAAGATTAGCGTGTAGTTGAGAGTTGAAATACCTTAAAATACCACTGAGGTTCACAACTCTAAGCCATGGTTAATCATTTCCTGTGCATATTTTCCTATTGTAAAGATCGTAAGTTGCTTTCAAAAGAACTCTTGGTTCATAGGTACAATAGGACATAGCCCCTAGCACTCTTGTTGGAGATCTTGTTTCAGTTTTCCTTTAATTTAGTGACTTCATATCACTGTTATCTACCAAGAGCATTTGGAATATTCTAGGTTGAAGAAAATAATTAAAGGATACTATGTGAAAGCCCAGCTACTTAGCCCAGCTCTTCCCTTCCAATCAGAGGACATATAATTCTCATTATGAATTATTACATGCTCTAGGAGGGTAGCCAAATGGTAATAATTTTAAAAGCTCTTATTTTTAGTACCATGCTATGTATTGGCCAGAAAAAGGATAATAATTCCTGTCTTCTACAGAATTACCAGAATCTGAATCTGTACTGACATGCCAACAGAGTAATAAAGTACATTGGCATTAAGCTCATATCCTCAAGCCTGTTTGTGTATATTAACTAAAAATAAGAGATTTCATCCTCTTTTTCTTCATAGGCTTTCTGTATTCTGCCACACCAGGGTCAGATGTTTGCTTTGCTCGACAACATAACACTTCTGACAATAACAACCAGTGTTTACTGGGAACAAATGGAAATATTTTGTTGCACCTTAACCCTCAGAAACCAGGGGCTATTGATAACCAGCCATTGGTAACTCAAGAACCAGTAAAGGTAAGTAGTTTTACATTTAATTTAAAATTATTCTCTAGCAAGCCATGAATAAATTTTATTTCAGAGGTTTTAGCACATAGCAAAACATTGGTGGTTCATTTAATTATATAGATGGAAATCTCTTTGTATGGTACATTTCTATGAGAATATGATTTAGAACTTACATAGAAATTGTTTAGTGATCCTTGGAAATAGTTGTGTTTTTTTTTAGAAAGAAAGGGAAAAAAAGGAGTGAAGGAGAGGAAGAAAGAGGAAGAAAAAGAGGGAGAGAGAATGGGACTGTAGGTTTATTCTAAAAATGGGTATTAATAATGGCCGATCAATATTTTGTGTATTTAAGGTGGAGAATGTATATTTTGTGTATTTAAAATGGAGAGCTCTATAAATATTTATTGAGTTTACCTGTTCCGGATCTGAGTTCAAGTCCTGGATATCCTTATTAATTTTCTGTCTCGTTGAGTCTAAATCTCTTTATGAGTCTTATGTATCTGGGTGTTAGGATCGTTAGCTCTTACTATTGCATTGATCCTTTTACCACTGTATCTTTGTTGCTTTGAAATCTATTTTATCAGATGGAAGAATCGCAACTCCTGCTTTTTATTTATTTATTTATTTTTGCTCTCCATTTGGTTGGTAGATCTTTCTCCAACCCTTTGTTTTAAGTCTTTGTGTATCTTTGGATGTGAAATGGGTCTGGATGTAGCATACCGTTAGGTTTTGGCTGTATCTTTTGATTGGGGGATTTAGTCGACTTAAATTTAGGGTTACTGCCATTTGATGTGAACTGGCTATTTTATCCATTCGTTGATGTAAATTCTTCTTTATGTTGATGCTCTTTACTTTTTTGGTATATTTTTAGAAAGGCTAATACTAGTTGTTCTTTTCTATGTATAATGCTTCTTTCAGAAGCTCTTGTAAAGCCGGCCTGGTGGTAATAAAATCTCTGAGTACTTGCTTGTTCATAAAATATTTTATTTTTCCTTCAATTGTGAAGCTTAGGCAGGATATGAAATTCTGGGCTGAAAGTTCTGTTCTTTAAGGATGTTGAATATTGGCCCCCACTCTCTTCTGGCTTGTAGGGTTTCTGCTGAGAGATCTGCTGTAAGTCTAATAGGCTTCCCTTTGTGGGTAACCTGAGCTTTCTCTCTGGCTGCCCTTAGTATTTTCTTCTTCGTTTCAACCCTGGTGCATCTAACGATTATGTGCCTTGGGGTTGCTCTTCTTGAAGAATATCTTTGTGGTGGTCTCTGTATTACCTGGGGTTGAATATTGTCCTGCTTTGCTAGATTGGGAAAGTTTTCCTGAATAATATCCTGAAGAATAGTTTCCAGCTTGGATTCATTCTCTTTGTTGTATTCAGGTACACCTATCAAACATAAATTAGGTCTTTTCACATAGTCCCATATTTCTTGGAGACTTTGCTCATTCCTTTTTATCCTTTTTTCTCTATTCTTATCTTCTCATTTTATTTCATTAAGTAGGTCTTCGACCTCTGATATCCTTTCTTCTGCTTGATCAATTCGGCTATTCAAACTTGTGCATATTTCGCTAAGTTTTTGTGTTGTGTTTTTCAACTCCGTTAGTTCATTTATATTCCTCTCTATATTGTCTATTCTTGTTAGCATTTCGTCAAACCTTTTTTCCAAGTTCTTAGTTTCTTTACATTGGGTTAGAACAAGTTCTTTTAACTCCCAGAAGTTTCTTATCATCCACCTTCTGAAGCCTACTTCTGTTAATGGCACACAGTCCTTTTCCATCAGGGCTTGTTCCGTTGCTGATGAGGAACTGTAATCCCCTGTAGAGGGAGAGGGGTTCTGATTTTGGGTATTCTCAGCCTTTTTAGGCTGGTTTCTTCCCTTTGTTATAAATTTATCCATCTGTCATCTTTACGATTACCGCCTTTCTAGTTGGGTTTCTAGTTGGGAAATAGTTTTTCTTACTTAGGACAGCTATTCTGAAAATGTTGTTTCACATACACTATATATGAATTTTTTTCCAAACTAGTATTTTTTTATTGTTTGAAAGAAATCTGTGAAGTTATTTCAAGTGCTTCAGTGATTTTTTTCCAAATGACATGCTTTGAGGTTCATTTTTTACATAGTTTATTTTGAAAGACAAAAATAAAAATCTTTAAAAATTAGTTTTTTTGGCTGGATGCAGTGGCTAACGCCTATAATTCTAATACTTTGGGAGGCCAAGACAGGCAAATCACCTGAGGTCAGGAGTTCAGAACCAGCCTAGCCAACATGGTGAAACCCAGTCTCTACTAAAAATGCTAAAATTAGCTGGGCATGGTGGCACATAGCTATAATCACAGCTACTCAGGAGGCTGAGGCAGGAGAATCGCTGGAACCCAGGAGGAAGAAGCTGCAGTGAGCCGAGATCATGCCACTGCACTCCAGCCTGGGTGACAGAGCAAGACTCCATCTCCCCCCGACCCCCCCAAAAAAAAAAAAACCGTAATTAAGTTTTTCCAGCAACATGAAACTGGGTGGTGACATATGGGTTTGTTTTCCTGTATCTAGGTATTGCTAAGACACAAAAACCTTTCTAATACTCAAAGTCAACACTGTCATTCTGTTCCTTCTCAGGCTACATCATTAACACTAGAAGGGGGACGATTAAAACGAACTCCACAACTGATTCATGGAAGAGATTATGAAATGGTTCCAGAACCTGTGTGGAGAGCACTTTATCATTGGTATGGAGCAAACCTGGCCCTACCTAGACCAGTAAGTAGAGCTAATAGTGCCTTATATAAGGAGCAGTCATAGATGGGGTCTTCTGTTATTTTTCTGTATAAATCTCACTTACCACAAACTAGCTCTTACCTTATGGTAGAAGAGTGCTCAGAACCTGTTCAGATTAACTGAGCAAATAATTTTAGGTTCCTTCACATACATTCATTTATTCATAAGTAAAGGCAAGGAAATAAAAGGCTGTTGAATGTGTTACCCACAAAAAAGTAGACATCACCTAGGATGTACAAAACTTAGGCTAGAGGGAAAGACAGGCCAAGAGCCAGTGCCAAAAAATTCAGTGAATGTAGGGAGTGGTGCAGAGGTTATTTATGAAATGACTATTCCCAACAGTCACACAGGTATCTAGTTAGGAATTGCATTCTTCTTGTAGCTTTTGGATTTTTTGGGGTTATGTTTTTGAAGGAGGGGCATATAAAAGATCACAACATAGGATAACAGGAATTCAAGATCATGAAGGTTTTGGAGTATTTAATATTATATTAAAATATGAGTATATAGCACTATTTGTTGTGCTTGTATGGTAAACAGCAGCACTCAGTATTCCTCGGCCTCCCAAAAGTGGATACTCACTTTTTACATTGTTGCAGTAAAATATAACAAGATGTTTTGGTGGGGTGTTTCTGGTATATTAAGAAACACTCTTCTGCCTGTAATCCCAGTACTTTGGGTGTCTAAGGTGGGTGGATCACGATGCCAAGATTTCGAGACCAGCCTGGCCAACGTAGTGAAACCCTGTCTCTACTAAAAATACAAAAATTAGCCAGGAGTGCTACACGCGCCTGTAGTCCCAGCTACTCAGGAAGCTGAGGCAGGACAATTGCTTGAACCAGGGAGGCAGAGGTTGCAGTGAGCCAAGACTACGCAATTGCACTCCATCCTCGGTGACAGAGGGAGATTCCATCTCAAAAGAAATGTTCAAGCTGAAATTTCCTTATGCCAGGAAAGTTTTGTATAGATGATATATCGTAGGTTAACTTCTAAAAAGTGAAAATCTGTTATAAAACAGCCTAATGTAATTTTGATGTTGATTTTGAGTTCTTAATGATGTTTATGAAAAATAATTCAAGCTCCATAGTTCGAACAATACTCCTATCTCAGCCTCCCTAGTAGTTAGGACTATAGGCACACACCATCCTAACAGCTAATTAAAAAAATTTTTTTAAGAGCCAAAATCTTGCTGTGTTGTCCAGGCTGGTCTCGAACTCCTGGCCTCAAGCAGTCCTCCTGCTTTGGCCTCCCAAAGTGCTGGTATTACAGGCATGAGCCACTGCACCTGGCCAGTACTTTTTTTTTTTAATTCTTTATTACCCCCTCTTGATACTAAAAAAAAAATGTTCTGTTGCAGAAGGTATTAGTTATGAGAGCAAAGGAAATAAAAGCCTGGTCACCTGAGACTTAAAAGACTCTGTAAGAGTTAATGTTTTAAAGAGTTTCAGTGTTGACCCTGCTATCCTTTTAGAATATGAAATTGATAATGTGCTACTCTTAAAATTTTTTTTTTTTTGAGACGGAGTTTTGCTGTTGTTACCCGGACTTCAGTGTAATGGCACGATCTCGGCTCACCGCAACCTCCGCCTTCTGGGTTCAAGCAATTCTCCTGCCTCAGCCTCCCGAGTAGCTGGGACTACAGGCGTGCCGCCAAGTTGGAGTGCAGTGGCGCAGTCACGGCTCACTGCAACCTCCGCCTCCCGGGTTCAGGCGATTCTTCTGCCTCAGTCTCCTGAGTAACTGGGATTACAGGCACGCGCCACCATGCCCAGCTAATTTTTGTATTTTTAGTAGAGACGGGGTTTCACCATGTTGACCAGGATGGTCTCGATCTCTTGACCTCGTGATCCACCCGCCTCGGCCTCCCAAAGTGCTGGGATTACAGGCTTGAGCCACCTCACCCGGCCTTATTTCTAAACTAAAATGTCCAACAGGTTAACTAGTTATATTTCAGTAATTACTGAAACTGACACATTTAAGTTATGTAGATCTGAATACTTAAGTTTCTGCTCCTAAACCCATTTCCCAAGATTGTAACTCCTTGTAGATAATCTTCTCCTCTTTTATTTAAAAGTAACAACATTGAAGAAAAACACCCTTAAGTATTATCTATAATTCCACTACCCTCACACCATAAGTCTTTTCACTTTTACATATTTCATGTATATAAATGACTGATGTTTTAAGTCATTTTTATTCCATTCATAAAAATGGAGTTAAAAGTCAAAAACTATGAAAGTATTCAAGTCATCAGCTATACAGTCATGCTGCCATCTAAAGTTTAGCAATTTACACTATTGCCAGTAATGTATGAATATACTACTCTCATAAAACCTTATCACTGAACATCATTTAAAAACATCCACATTTTGTTACTATGAAGAATATTATATAAAGAGTATTATAAATTGCTTAAAATTTTATTTTTAGTATTAGTAGTGAGGATACAACTGTTCCCATATAAAAATTTACTATGTTCTACTTGTGTAACCAGTCTGTCCATATATGTTTTGTCTATGATTTAAACAAAAAATTTAGATTAAAAAAAAAAAAACAACTCAGGTTTCACATTGTAGGAACAAGATTTTTAAGTAGTTTTAACCTGCCCACAGACACAGGAAAACATTTAATTATTAACATATTATTGTGGCTGGGCACGGTGGCCCATTGCACTCCAGCCTGGGTAACAAGAGCGAAACTCTGTCTCAAAAAAAAAAGAAAGAAATCTCAGAAGTTTTGTTTCTTTTTTTAGTGATCACTTTTTATCTTTTAAAACAACAGGTAATCAAGAACAGCAAGACAGACATCCCAGAGCTGGAATTATTTCCCCGCTATCTTCTTTTCCTGAGACAGCAGCCTGCCACTCGGACACAGCAGTCTAACATCTGGGTGAATATGGGTATGATGAGCCTGAGAATGTTTCCTCAGCATTTACCGAGAGGTAACTTAAGAATGCAGCAAGAATACCATGAAAACTACGTTGCTCAAAGTCTGGTGCCACTGTATTGATACACATTCCCATCAGCTTTCATACAGAATCAGTAATTCACTTTTATCGGGCTTAGATCTATGGTCATGCGCAAGACTAGATGAGGGGTAGAAGCAAATCCCAGCAGCAAACTGAGATGCGACGTTTCCTTTTCTACTTACAAAGAAAATAAATAGAAATAGATTTTACGTGCTTTATTTCTTTGAGATAAGCCATTGTAAATGGTTACTAGACTAAATAATAGTCTTCTAGTCATTGAGTGGTCTTTTCAACTCAAATTTGTAAAAAGTAATTCCTTTTACACTATCATCTTTTTTGTTTTTTAAGGTTTTTGTTGTAGTTTGGTTTTTTGGCAAAACATGATACATTTCTTTTGCCTGGTCTATAAGAGATAGACAGTACAGAGCAAAAGGGATATTTTTGAAAATTAAAGTGATATATTTGCTTTGAAAAAACACCAAGCATATCAAAATGACATATAAATTAGTTCCCATTTTAATGTATAACATGCAAAAAGTTCCCCTTTCATTTCTCTGTAAGGTTAAACTTTATTGATTGGCAACTTGCTCTGTGCTTTTACCTTGCAAATACTTGAAATGATTCTTCAGCAGTAAAGAAATAATAAGCTGGGCATGGTGGCTAATGCCTGTAATCCCACACTTTGGGAGGCCAAAGTGGATGGAGTACTTGAGGTCAGGAGTTTGAAATCAGCCTAGCCAACATGGCGAAACCCTGTCTCTACTAAAAATATGAAAAAAATTAGCCAGGCATGGGGGCACATGCCTATAGTCCCAGCCACTTGGGAGACTAAAACAGGAGAATCACTTGAACCCAAGAGGTTGCAATGAGCCAAGATCGCACCACTGCACTCCAGCCTGGATGACAGAGTGAGACTCTGTCTCAAAATGTAATGATAATAATAATGAGCAACCATTTATACAAAATCTGACTGTTAGCAATGCCAGCATGTTATTATAATTAAAATAACTTAGTATGCAAGAACTACCTCTAAACCCCAACCAAAATAAGTACTAGCTCTCCTTTGAAATTGAACAGGGTTAGTTTTGTATTTTCATTAAAGGTTATATTCATATAATATATGAAGAATCTTTCAATAGTATTTGGTAAGAATTCTTTCGATAGTGTTTGGCAATAATTATAGCAAAGTATTGGCCTCTAGCTACCAAACTTTGTTTTTGGGGAAAACAGCAAAATCAAAGAACAGTGAGGCCGGGTATAGTGGCTGATGCCTGTAATCTCAACAGTTCAGGAGGCTGAGGTCGAGGATCATTTGAAGCTAAGAGTTTGAGACCAGCTCGGGCAACATAGTAAGATCCTGTCTCTACAAAAAAAGGTTTAAATTAGCTGGGCATAGTGGTGTGCTCTGTAGTCTCAGGTACTCAAGAGGCTGAGGTGGGAGGATCTCTAAAGTCCAGGAGTTCAAGGCTGTGGTGAGCTGTGATTATGCCATTATACTCCACAGCCTGGGTAACAGAGCAAGAGCCTATCTCTAAAAAAAAAAAAATTTTTTTTAAAGGAAACCATTTTTTAAAAAAGGAACAGTGAGATAGAACCTTATGAAACATTCTTGATTTCATTTTCCATTGATTAGAAGTATTATTAGCCTTGCTTCCATGGCACCCATAGCAACTTTTTCAATTCTTTTTGAAAGAACATGAGGCCAGGTGCGATGGCTCATGCCTGTAATCCCAGCACTTTGGGAGGCTGAGGCTGGTGGATCACCAGAGGTTAGTGGTTCGAGACCAGCCTGGTCAACATGGTGAAACCCCATTTCTACTAAAAATACAAAAATTAGCCAGTTGTGGTGGCAGGTTCCCGTAATCCCAGCTACTCGTGAGGCTGAGGCATGAGAATTACTTGAACCCAGGAGGCAGAGGTTGCAGTGAGCCGAGATCACACCACTGTGCTCCAGCCTGGGCAATAGAGTGAGACTCTGTCTCAAACAAAAAAAATGAAAGATAACATGAGAGGCAAGATGTGTTGCGCTTTTAGTAGGTATTCTTTGTAACTCTTGTGCTGATCCTAGATTTTTGCTGCTTCTATAAATTCCACTAGATTTGTTGGTGCTATTCAAAAGCATAAAATTACACATAATAAGTGGCTGCCTGCTTAATGAGCTATGCTATAAAAACTTTCTAAAACTCAAATTTTTATATTGTGGCTTAGGACAATAGAGATTGACTTGAACACTATACTTGTATATGCTTCTGAATCCTAGAACTGCATATTTCATATAATCCAAATTTGTTTATAATGAAATTTTATTCCTTGCTAATTAGTTGTGAAATCAATCATTAATCATTTTAAAATTTATAAAAATATGCTTTCTTGCTGTAATCTTATAACTAATCCTAAGATGTGTAACTGGAGAAATTTGCTTTTGTTTTCTTTTAGAGATTATCCTTTGCTTGCTGATTATAAAAGATTTGCCTGCTATGTGTTTAAAAACTGATCATGGGTTGGGTTTCATTCTGCCATAACATAATGTTCATCTTCCTCAAATACTCAATTTATTACAGCTGTTTACTAGGCTCTTTTATTTCTTTTGAAGTGACAAGTATTCAAACCTTGTCACAATTACAATGATTTAAATGTAGCCTTTTCTACAGACAAGGTTATAGAAGTCATTGTTTTTTAGATGACTTCTTAGCCTGTCTTAGGTGAGGGAATTCCTTTTCACAAGTTCTTAAAAACTAGATCATGCCAGCACTTTTATCAGCTTTATTTTGTGGGAAAGACTCACTAAAAGCACATTTCAGGAATAAAAAAGCTAAGTCATGATTGAATGGGTAGAAAATTATTTGGACTGTATATTATAGTGATAAGTTTATATTTTTATGTTGGGTTGCTCAATAAAATACAGCCTCCCAGAGGCAGAGATGACTATTTTAATCCACAGTTCTGTCTAGATTTTTGGCTGAATAGTTAACCAGGGTTTAATGAGTTTATTAAAGCCATCTCTTTTTGCTTTCCGTAATCTCTTGTCATTTCATACCCCTCCTCTTTTGAAGTATATAGTGAGATTGATATATTCTTCCTTCACTCTTTACTCTTTTTCCCTATATTATTACCACTCTTCGTTTTTAGCCCTCAGGAATTTCGTGTCATATTTGCTGTCATCTTACTGGGTGGACAGGCTAATACTGTTTTTTTTTTTTTTACTTATAGGGCACTTATTTATTTATTTGGTCATGGGAAGTTTCTTGGCTTCGTTTTGAAACTCTGCTTTGGCCAAGTGTGGTAGCTCACACACTTGTAATCTCAGTGTGTAATCCCAGCACTTTGGGAGGCCAAGGTGGGAGGATTGCCTGAGCCCGGGAGTTCAAGATCAGCCTAGGTAACATAGGAAGATCCTGTCTACTCAGGAAGCTAAGGTGGGAGGATCACTTGAGCCAAAGAGGATGAGGCTGCAGTGAGCCATAATTGTCTCACTGCACTACAGCCTGGGCTGCAGAATGAGACCTTATCTCAAATAATGTTGATAATAATAAACTGTTTGGCTATGTAGAATCTATACCTATTTAGAATTTTAAGTCAAATTTTCTTTTTTTTCTAATTGATATGTAATAGATATATGTATGTTTTATTGTACAGTTGTCCTACTTAATGACTGAGAATGATGGGATTAGTGATTCAAAGAAAGTTTAGGAAAGTAGACCGGGTGAATCCAATTATCTGTCTGTGGGATTCAAATCCAGTCCCATTTTATCTCCTCCACTGAGTTGTTTAAAAAAAAAAAAAAAAAAAAAAAAAACTCTGTGTTTTAATTTTTTTTTTCCACTGAGTTTTATTTCATTTTGCTATTGACTGTGACCCAGCTGAGTGCATGCAGCCAGATACCAATGCCAGTTGTTTCTTGGCATGTTCCTACTCTTCTTGATATCCAAATATTGCCAGTTATTTGGGCCTTGAGCCTTGGGCCTTTTCTCATCTTTTCCAAGTTGAGGCTTCGGACTCACTTTAAAATACTTAGAAGGCTGGGCGTGGTGGCTCACACCTGTGATCATAGCACTTTGGGAGGCCGAGGCAGGTGGACTGCTTGCGCCCAGGAGCTAGAGACCAGCCAGGGCAATGTGGCAGAGACCCTGTCTCCACCTAAAAAGATATAAAAATTAGCCAGGTGTGGTGGCATGTGCCTGTAGTACCAGCTGTTCAGGAGGCTGAGGTGGGAGGATTGCTTGAACCCTGGAGATGGAAGCTGCAGTGAGCTGAAATCACACCTCCACACTCTAGCCTGGGCAGCATAAAGAGACTCCATCTATTTAAAAAAAAAAAAAAGTCCGGTCACAGTGGCTTACGCCTGTAATCCTAGCACTTTGGGAGGCCAAGGCAGGTAGATCATGAGGTCGGGAGTTTGAGACGAGCCTGACCAACATGGTGAAACCTCGTCTCTACTAAAAATACAAAAATGAGCTGGGTGTGGTGGCACGTGCCTGTAATCCCAGCTACTCAGGAGGCCGAGGCAGGAGAATTGCTTGCACCTGGGAGGCGGAAGTTGCAGTGAGCTGAGATTGCACTACTCACTCCAGCAACAGAGTGAGACTTTGTCTCAAAAAACAAACAAACAAACTTGGGTCTCCTGTCTGCACTTTAAAGCTTTTTGGTAGTCTTCATTTATACAATTATTACACTTGTAATTCTTATTGCTCATCATTATTTTGTAAAATAGTATGGTCCCCATTGCTGAGAGGAGTGCTTCTTTTTCACATCTGCCTTTTTTCTTGCTGTGATTGCTGTAACCATAGGAAATGTACCTTCTCCGAATGCACCTTTAAAGCGAGTATTAGCCTATACAGGCTGTTTTAGTCGAATGCAGACCATCAAGGAAATTCACGAATATCTGTCTCAAAGACTGCGCATTAAAGAGGAAGATATGCGCCTGTGGCTATACAACAGTGAGGTAAGAGGCATCTCAGACTCATGAAGAACCTGATTGTTGGTATTTTTTTTAATTTTAAAGAGTAAAAGAACTTTGTTAATCTTCTTTGTGTTGATCCAATTTTAGTACATGTGCTGCCAAAGAGAACACAAGACTGATTAAGTGTTAAATTATATTTCTTGAGTATAGGGATTTTGCCTGTAGTAATTATGCTAGGATTTCAGTGAAAAGTTCATCTTTTAAATTACTATATGTATACTTGTAATATTTTCCTCTGAGATCTATAATAGCAATTGATCACCATGGATGGTACCATCTTACAAAGATTATTGTTACGTTATAAACTAATGGTGTGGTCAAGTACAGTGGCTCACACCTGTAATCCCAACACTTTGGGAGACCGAGGTGGGTGAATCACCAGAGATCAGGAGTTCGAGACCAGCCTGGCCAACATGATGAAACCCCATCTCTACTAAAAATATAAAAATTAGCTGGGCATGGTGGTGTGCCCCTGTAGTCCCAGCTACTAGGAGAATTGCTTGAACCTGGAGGCAGAGGTTGCAGTGAGCCGAGATCGAGCCGTCTCACTCCAGCCTGGGTGACAGAGCCAGACTCCATCTCAAAAAAAAAAAAACTTATTCATGTAGCCAAATACCACCTGTTCCCCAAAAACCTATTGAAATTTTGAAAAAGAGAAAGATAATGCTTATGAAGTACACATTGTCTTTCTCTCTAATGCCATGCCACCTAAATTATAAATATTTATGAACAATTATAGTAGGCCAGATATCTGTGATATAAGTTATGTAACTACAAGGAAGTTTTTTTTTTAATTGTTACTTATTTTTATCTCTGTATTTGTTTCAAGTTTACTAACCAAATAACAAAAACATTTCCTCCTCCTTACATAGAACTACCTTACTCTTCTGGATGATGAGGATCATAGATTGGAATATTTGAAAATCCAGGATGAACAACACTTGGTAATTGAAGGTACAAGATGGAAGCATGCATCTATATTAAATTTTTATGGGGAAGAATTTCAAGAGTTACTTGCTGATAACCCATTTTATAATTTTCCCCAAGACAACTATTATTTGATCATTATGTTTTTATGGTAAAGAAACCCTTTTGGAAAAAAAAAAAGAAAAAAACCCTTTGAACTCTTACATAATTCTACCATGCAATTTAGATTGCTTGAAAGGAAAAATATACTGTTTTTAATCATTGACAAGGGATGGGAATGGTAGATAAAAATAAGTGAATTCTGTTTACAAATTTAGTTTCTTAAAATTTTCAAGCTGCTGCTTTGAGTTTGAGTAAGAACAACTTCTGCGCCAGGCACAGTGGCTCATGCCTATAATTCCAGCACTTTGGGAGGCCAAGGTGGGTGGATCACAAGGTCAGGAGTTTGAGACCAGCTTGGCCAATATGGTGAAACCCTGACTGTACTAAAAATACAAAAATTAGCTGGGCGTGGTGGCACACGCCTGTAGTCCCAGCTACTCAAGAGGCTGAGGCAGAAGAATCGTTTGAACCTGGGAGTGGAGATTGCAGTGAGCCACTGCACACGCCACTGCACTCCAGCCTAGGTGACAGAGCAAAACTCCCTCTTAAACAAAAAAAATAGGAGAACAACTTCCTTGCATAGTTAGCACAGGCTTTCATTAGTCATCAACACTGGCTACTCACTGACAGAGCTACTTGTATATTCCATCAGTCTACACACTGACATGCACATGACATTAAAAACTTTTTAATTGTATCTTTTCCCATCAAGTTTTATGACCATATTTCTAGCTGCCTTTGTATTAAAATGAATAGGCCAGGCTCAGTGGCTCATGCCTATAATCCCAGGACTTTGGGAGGCTCAGGCAGGTGGATCACTTGTGGTCAGGATTTTGAGATCAGCCTGGCCAACATGGTGAAACCCATCTCTACTTAAAAATACAAAAATTAGCTGGGCGCGGTGGCTCAACGCCTGTAATCCCAGCACTTTGGGAGGCCGAGGCGGGTGGATCACGAGGTCAAGAGACCGAGACCATCCTGGTCAACATGGTGAAACCCTGTCTCTACTAAAAATACAAAAAAAATTAGCTGGGCATGGTGGCCCGTTCCTGTAGTCCCAGCTACTCAGGAGGCTGAGGCAGAAGAATTGCCTGAACCCAGGAGGCGGAGGTTGCGGTGAGCCGAGATTGCGCCATTGCACTCCAGCCTGGGTAACAAGAGCGAAACTCCGTCTCAAAAAAAATATATATATGCAAAAATTAGCTGAGCATGGTGGCATGCACCTGCAGTCCCACCTACTCAGGAGGCTGGGGCACAAGAATCACTCGAGCCCAGGAGACGGAAGTTGCGGTGACCCAAGATCATGTCACTGCACTCCAGTCTGGGTGACAAAGCCAGACTGTCTCAAAAAAAAAAAAAAGAAAGAAAGAAATTACTCTGGAGATCGATCCAAGATGGCCGACCACTAACAGCTCAGGATTGTAGCTCCCAGTGAAAGCCCAGAGAACGAGACGACGCCACACTTTTAGACGAATTTTCGTCACTCACCGATCAGCTGATTCCCAGTGGAGGAGCCCCACGGGTCGCCAGCGTGACTCTTGTGGCCGCTGCAGCGGTTTTGCCGGTGTCTCGGCGCAGCAGCTCTTCATGCAGAGCAAACGGGACTGCTTCCCCTACTGACCGGAGTTTGGAGCTCAGGGAAGTCAGAGCCGCTTGTTGCGGACTCAAGAGGGAAGCCAGACTAGAGATTCCCGGGCAGAAGAGCACCATCAGTCTTACCGCTGCTATTTAGGCTGCCACAGTGGGTTGCTCGGATCCCAACACTGGGAATCAATAAGTCGGACGTCGACTCAGAAAACTAATTAGAAAGGCGGTTCATCTACAATGAAGGGGAAAAAACAGCCTAAGAAGGCCGAGTATACTCAAAATCAGAACCCATCAGCAACGGAACAAGCCCTGATGGAAAAGGACTCATCAGCAACCGAACAAGCCCTGATGGAAAAGGACTCATCAGCAACCGAACAAGCCCTGATGGAAAAGGACTCATCAGCAACCGAACAAGCCCTGATGGAAAAGGACTCATCAGCAACCGAACAAGCCCTGATGGAAAAGGACTCATCAGTAACGGAACAAGCCCTGATGGAAAAGGACTGTGTTCCATTATCTGAAGTAGGCTTTAAAAGGTGGATGATAAGAAACTTCTGGGAGTTAAAGGAACTTGTTCTAACCCAATGTAAAGAAACTAAGAACTTGGAAAAAAGGTTAGATGAAATGTTGAAAAGAATAGACAATATAGAGAGGAATACAAATGAACTTATGGAGTTGAAAAATACAACACGAGAACTTAGTGAAATATGTACAAGCTTAAACAGCCGAATGGATCAAGCAGAAGAAAGGGTATCAGAGGTGGAAGATCAACTTAATGAAACAAAACAACAAGACAAGAATAGAGAAAAAAGGATAAAAAGGAATGAGCAAAGTCTCCAAGCAATATGGGACTATGTGAAAAGACCTAATATACGCTTGATTGGTGTACCTGAATGTGACGGAGAGAATGAATTCAAGCTGGAAAATACTCTCCAGGACATTATCCAGGAAAATTTTCCTAATTTAGCAAAGCAGGACACTATTCAACCCCAGGCAATACAGAGAACACCACAAAGATATTCCTCAAGAAGACCAACCCCAAGGCACATAATCGTTAGATTCACCAAGATCGAAACGAAGGAGAAAATATTAAGGGCAGCCAGAGAGAAAGATCAAGTTACCCATAAAGGTAAGCCTATTAGCTTACAGCAGATCTCTCAACGGAAACCCTATAAGCTAAAAGAGAGTGGGGGCCAATATTCAATATACTTAATCAACAGAACTTTCAGCCCAGAATTTCATATCCTGCCAATTTAAGCTTTACATTTGAAGGAAAAATAAAATTTTTTAGGAACAAGCAAGTACTCAGAGATTTTATTACCACCAGGCCTGCTTTACAAGAACTTCTAAAAGAAGCACTATACACAGAAAGGAACAACCAGTATGACCCTTTCTAAAAATACACCAAAAAGTAAAGAGCATTAACATAAAGAAGAATTTTTATCAACAAAAGGACAAAATAGCCAGTTATTATCAAACGGCAGCAACCCTAAATTTAAATCGACCAAATCTCCCAATCAAAAGATACAGACAAAATCTAATGGTATATCCAAAGATATACATAGACTCAAAATAAAGGGTTGGAAAAAAAAACGTACCAACCAAATGGAGAGCAAAAATAAATAAATAAAAAGCAGGAGTTGCAATTTTCACATTTGACGAAATAGATTTCAAAGCTACAAGGATAAAAGGATTAATGTAATAATAAGAGATCTTAACACCCAGATACATAAGACCCATAATGAGATTTAGATTCAACGAGACAGAAAATTGATAACGATATTCGGGACTGGAACTAAGATACAGAACAAATAAACTCAATAGAGCTCTCCATTTTAAACACACAAAATATACATTATCCACAAAATCTAACGATATATCTAAAGATATACAAAGACTCAAAACAAGGGGATGGAAAAAAACTTACCAACCAAATGGAGAGCAAAAATAAATAAATAAAAAGCAGGAGTTGCAATTCTCACACTTAATAAAATAGATTTCAAAGCTACAGGGATGCAAGGGTAAAAGGATTAATGCAACAATAAGAGATCTTAACACCCAGATACATAAGACACATAATGAGATTTAGATTCAATGAGACAACATATTGATAACGATATCCAGGACTTGAACTCAGAGCCAGAGCAAATAAACACAATAGAGGTCTCCATTTTAAACACATAAAACATGCATTAACCACTTTAAACACTCAAAATATTGATCGGCCATTATTGAAACCCATTTTAGGAATGAAGTAATATTCCTTTTTCCCTCTTTTTCTTTTTTTCCCCTTCTTCTCTAAAAAAAAAAAAAAAAAGAAATTACTCTGATAGTTGTTACAATTTAAGAAAGAATTGTAATATTTCTAATGTTTTAAATATAAGAAATTCCATTGTTTCTGAACTTTAATTACTTCTGTAGATGGTTGAGTATAGTTTTACTTCAAGTAGGTAATTGAGGGAATAGATTATTCAAACCAAGTGACTTTAAAGTCCTCAGTATGAAGAATTGGGAGGAAGACCTGGAAGGCTGCGTGCAGCGTGAGTCTGACCCTGCGCGATGGCGGAAGCCTTGGCGATGGGCGCCTGCGGAGAGGCGATGGTGGCGATGGCAGCTGGGGAAGGCTCCTCGGTCCGGCGGGCTTGACTCTGGGCCGGAACTTCTCCAACTCCCCGCCCTTCGAGCCCCAGGCATTGGGCCTCAGCCCAAGCTGGCAGCTGATGGGCTTCTCCAGCATGAAGGGCTGAGGCTGCAAGGTCCCGCAGGAGACGCTGCTCAAACTCCTGGTGGGACGACATGGCCGGATGTGCGGCCCCCACTGGGCCTGGGCCTGGTGGGCAGTCAGGAAGAGGCGTCACAGGAAACCGGAGAGGGCCCCAGCCCCACTTTTCCAGCCCTGGGCATCAGGATGGACTCCTGCGTAATCCCCCTGAGGGATGGGGGCCTGTGCAGACCATGGACTTCTTTTACCCCTTGGTGGAAGATCCCTGCGTGATGGGGCGCATAGCTTGTGCCAACGTGCTGAGTGACCTCTACGCCATGGGCATTACTGAGTGTGACAACATGTTGATGTTACTCAGTGTCAGCCAGAGTATGAGTGAGGAGGAACGTGAAAAGGTAACGCCACTCATAGTCAAAGGCTTTCAGTATGCGGCTGAGGAAGGAGGGACTGCAGTGACCAGTGGGCAAACTGTGGTCAACCCTTGGATTATAATTGGTGGAGTTGCCACTGTGGTATGCCAGCCAAATGAATTCATAATGCCCAACAGCGCGGTGGTTGGGGATGTGTTGGTGTTAACCAAACCGTTAGGAACCCAGGTTGCTGTCAGTGCCCACCAATGGCTGGATAATCCTGAAAGATGGAATAAAGTAAAGATGGTGATCTCCAGAGAAGAGGTGGAGCTGGTGTATCAGGAAGCCATGTTCAATATGGCTGCCCTCAACAGAACTGCTGCAGGTTTAATGCACACATTTAATGCCCATGCGGCCACAGATACCACAGGCTTTGGCATTCTAGGACACTCCCAGAACCTTGCGAAACAACAAAGAAATGAAGTGTCCTTTGTTATTCATAATCTGCCAATAATTGCCAAGATGGCTGCTGTCAGCAAGGCCAGTGTACAGTTTGGGCTTCTTCAAGGAACCTCAGCTGAAACCTCTGGGGGATTACTGATTTGTCTGCCTAGAGAACAGGCGGCTTGCTTTTGTTCTGAAATCAAATCCTCCAAGTATGGAGAGGGTCCCTAAGCGTGGATCGCTGGCATTGTGGAAAAAGGAAACGGCCCAGATCATTGACAAGCCGCGAGTTATTGAAATCCTACCTCCTGGGGCCATAGCTGCTGCTCTTGCTCCTGACAATTCAAATGCCTCCTCTGAGCCTTGCTCGTGAGATGAAAGAACAGAAGCTGTTTGGACCGTAGAGCTGTTGTTCACAATTATGGATGGTTCTCAAGAGTTGATTTTAAGAAATTTCCAAAGAAGGCTGCCTGCATAGTGGTTGCAGCTGCCCTTTCTAGGTGATTGGAATCAGGCCATCAAAAGCAACCTTTATATACATTCCGAGGCCAGAAATACCTCTGTTTTCTCTTTCCAAAGTAAGATGAGGCTATTCCAGGTTGAGGGATTTTTCTTTGCACTGAGTTGATTAATTTCTGCACAGGGATTGAGATGATTTATTAAAACCACACACAAATTGCAAAATGAAAAAATTTACATCAGAAGTAAATGAATTTTGGGCCAATACTGTTGATAAATCTAAATTGTTAAGAGAGATCTTGTAGTGCAACCTCAAATTCTTTATTAGACTTTACTGAGTACTCACTCTTTCCTGCTCTGGACAAGAATTGAGCAGCTTGTCATGACTGGGAAAGGAGGACCTGCAGTCGTCTGGCTTGGTGTCTGTTAATGACATCTCTCCCTCCAAACCCCATTAAGGACTGGGAGAGGCAGAGCAAGCCTCAGAGCCCAGGCCTTGGTGGTTATTAAGATATTAAGTTGTTTGCTGCAAATTTCGGTGATTTGATCAATAAAGCAATTTCTTCCCGGAAAAAAAAAAAAAAAAGAAAAGAAAGAATTGGAATGGTTTTAGAGCCAAGTATAGGCATGTGCTACATAAAGATGTTTTAGTCAACAAAAGACCTGTATACAGCAGTGGTCCCATAAGATTATAATACTGTATTTTTAGCTGTACTTTTCCTGTGTTCTAATATATTTAGATACATAAATACTTACCATTGTGTTACAGTTGTCTACAGTGTTGAATACAGTAACGTGCTATACAGGTTTGTAGCCAAGGAGTAACAGCCAATACCATGTATAGCCTAGATTTGTGTAAGTACACTCTGTGATGTCCACACAAAGAGAATATCACGTAATGATGCATTTCATGCATTTCGCAGAATGTAACCCATCATTAAGTGACATATGAACTAAAATTAACTAGTTTTTTTTTTAAACTTCTGATTTAGGAATAAGATGTCTTAAAGAAAAAAAACAGAAGCAATTGAGTGGATAAATTAGATAGATAAGAAATTAACACATTTCTATCTGTCTTTCCAGTTCGCAACAAAGATATGAGTTGGCCTGAGGAGATGTCTTTTATAGCAAATAGTAGTAAAATAGATAGACACAAGGGTAAGTCTCACAAGGGTATTATTTTTAAAAAGATGATTTTAAATGTACTCTTTTTTTTTTCTTCTCTCAACTATTAAAGTACTACCAACTTTTGGTTTTCTAATTCAAAAATGATTAGGCCCTTTCTTTTCCTTTTTTCCTGAAGCAGCATTTGATGTTGGCAAACCCACCATCAAATTATTTTCTAAATTTCTTTCTAACTCTGCAATTAAATAATTTATATGTTTTAAAAGGACATACTAGAAGAAAGAATTGTTTGAATTATTTTGAAAAATCATAGCAATTAAAAAGAATAACTGCTGCTTCTGGGTTACAAATGAGCATGGATCATCACTGTTGCCAGACACTCCATGAAAAGCCTTCTCTAGTATTTCAGAGACCTGCTAGAGAAATAATAGCACCGTTTAGCTGATTATGAGGGTTATAAAAAAATCATTTCATTGAATATAACTGTTTGTGCCATGGCATATTACTGTAGCTAAGCTTTGGTTCTCATATTATTTGTTCCAGTTCCCACAGAAAAGGGAGCCACAGGTCTAAGCAACCTGGGAAACACATGCTTCATGAACTCAAGCATCCAGTGTGTTAGTAACACACAGCCACTGACACGGTATTTTATCTCAGGGAGACATCTTTATGAACTCAACAGGTAATCTTTCTTGAGTCATTGGCCTCTTAACCTGTGACTTTGATATAAACCCAGTATTACCCACATTTCCTCTTTCTTCACCCTGGAGGAGAAAGATCTTATCTTATCAACCCTATTTAATATGAAATAGGCCAAGGACTACATCTCTTGTTTCAAAAAGAAAAGATACTTTGATGTGAGATGCTAGGCATTTTTGTGCCCACATGACTGTGATTTATAAGAATCTTTGGCAACAAATTTTCCTCTCAAACTTCTAGGACAAATCCCATTGGTATGAAGGGGCATATGGCTAAATGCTATGGTGATTTAGTACAGGAACTTTGGAGTGGAACTCAGAAGAATGTTGCCCCATTAAAGCTTCGGGTAAGCAGGTTAAAATAATATAAAAGCATTTAATTCCTAAATAGTTGTTTAGTCATTTTTCTTTGCTTGTCTTTTATGTTTAGCCTTTTAGCTTAATAAATGTTTTTGGACCCTTTACTTTTTATAAACCAGATGCCAAATTCTTTTGCTTGTTTAAATATATGTAGAATACTACTGTATATGTAGTAGGTAGGCAAAAGACCAAAGGCACACTCTAAATTTGGAATATCATTCATATTACTAATTTACCAAACATCTTATATGAAGAGTAAACCATTTTTGGTAATACTTCACTATTAGCAGTATTCTAACTGCAGGGTGGACCTCGGAGTCTTATTAATTGCATCCAATATATATTCAACATAACTAAGATAATTCTATCTGTAGAATATAAAGAAGTAGGCTGGGTGCAGGGGCTCACGCCTGTAATCTCAGCACTTTGGGAGGCGGAGGTGGGCAGATCATTTGAGACCAGGAGTTCAAGACCAGCCTGGGCAACATGGTGAAACTCTGTCTCTACTAAAAAACAAAAAAAAATTAGCTGGCATGGTGGCACATGCCTGTAATTCCAGCTGATTGGGAGGCTGAGGCACAAGAAATGCTTGAACCTGGGAGATGGAGGTTGCAGTGAGTCGAGATCATACCACTGCACTCCAGCCTAGGCAACAGAGTAAGACTGTCTCAAAAAAAAAAAAAAGAAAAAAAGTAGCAGGATGAACGAATGAAACTAATGAATACAGGTTTTGTTTTTAGTTATTTATTTTTTTATTTTTATTTTATTTTTTTTTTAATTCTTGATTTCCATGCAGAGTAAAGGCTTTATATTAATACCAAATGTAGTAGATTTTAGTGAAGTTAGGATTATTCATTATTTTTATTTAAGTACAAAGCAAAAACTTTTTAGTTTATAAATTAATAACTGTAATAGCTACACATTTGACTACTTATTTTTTGCCAGGTACTATTCTAATTAATTTATATGTATTAACTCATTTAATCCTCTAAATAATTCTATTATTTAATGCAGTTAATAAAAGTTAGTATGCAACAAGACCAGAAAATGTAATTGTTGAAGACATTACATTGTATAAAATAATATGTGTATATATTATTTTATACATATGTTCTGTATTATATACACATATTATTTTATGCATGTCATGTATTATGTGCCTATAAAATATATGTATTTTATAGGCACATAAAAATGTATAAAACATTACAGAACAGAATGTCTTTCGCTGTGAACAAATGCTATTTTAATATTTCTGTCTTAAATAACATCTATGTGCCTGAAGAACGGTTTGCTTACATGATACTAAACTGAGGACACAGTATTGACCAAAATACTTCTTTTTTTTTTTGTCATTTAAGATTAAGATTTCAGAGATTTCGTGATTATCCAAAATATATTTGATGAAATGGAGCAGACTAAGTACTATACTATTTACTTTCTTGTAATGCCTCTGATTGGATTATAGGACATATTCATTCCAAATTTTATGGATAGGAAATAATGACTGTGACTCCTCTTATATTTATAGTGGACCATAGCAAAATATGCTCCCAGGTTTAATGGGTTCCAGCAACAAGACTCCCAAGAACTTCTGGCTTTTCTCTTGGATGGTCTTCATGAAGATCTCAACCGAGTCCATGAAAAGCCATATGTGGAACTAAAGGACAGTGATGGCCGACCAGACTGGGAAGTAGCTGCAGAGGTTTGTCAGTTTTGAGTTTCTAATGTAGGCAGTAGACAAAATGTTCTGGCCACAAATACATGTAGCACAACTTAAGTGCAAACTAAATTATTCTGAGATCAGAATTTTATGGCGAAAAGAAGGCATTTCTGTTTCTATGCTTAATTCTTATGCAATGATACAAAAACAAAAACACCTTTAATGAAAATAGAAAACTGTTGCCATTTAGCATTGTAAACTTTATGGGACTGGAGGTAGGAATAATCCAGCGGAATTTAAAGAGTCTCCATAGCCAGGTGCCGTGGCTCACGCCTGTAATCCCAGTACTTTGGGAGGTCGAAGTGAGTGGATTACCTGAGGTCAGGAGTTGGAGACCAGACTGTCCAACATGGTAAAACCCTGTCTCTACTAGAAATAGAAAAATTAGCTGGGCGTGGTGGCGGACACCTATAATCCCAGCAACTTGGGAGGCTGAAGCGAGATAATTGCTTGAACCGGGGAGGTAGAAATTGGAGTGAGCTGAGATTGTGCCATTGCACTCCAGCCTGGGCAACAAGAGCAAAACTCCATCTGGGGAAGAAAAAAAGAGTCCCTATTATTGCTAAATTAATGCATACAATGACATAGAGGCATGCTTTGTACTTTTTTTTTTTTTTTTTTGAGACAGAGTTTCTCTCTTGTTACCCAGAGCGAAATGGCGTGACCTCGGCTCACTACAACCTCTGCCTCCTGGGTTCAGGCAATTCTCCTGCCTCAGCCTCCTGAGTAGCTGGGATTACAGGCACGCGCCACCATGCCCAGCTATTTTTTTGTGTTTTTAGTAGAGACGGGGTTTCACCATGTTGACCAGGATGGTTTCGATCTCTTGACCTCGTGATCCACCTGCCTCAGCCTCCCAAAGTGCTGGGATTACAGGCTTGAGCCACCGTGCCTGGCCTATGCTTTGTACTTTTTAATGGACAAACAATTTTAATATTTACAATTGTTCCCAATGATAAGAACAGATGAAAAATGGGATTTTCCATCTCGATTTAATATTTTATGTTAAATAAAAAATAGGATTATATTCTTGACCTTTAAATCCAATATATTTGACCAGTTTCTTTTAATTTATATAGAAATGCTTCTCTTTTGGATTTTGAGAGAAAATTCTGTAATCTTTTTTTATTGCTAGGCCTGGGACAACCATCTAAGAAGAAATAGATCAATTGTTGTGGATTTGTTCCATGGGCAGCTAAGATCTCAGGTCAGATGCAAGACATGTGGGCATATAAGTGTCCGATTTGACCCTTTCAATTTTTTGTCTTTGCCACTACCAATGGACAGTTATATGCACTTAGAAATAACAGGTAGGTCACAAAGTTCTGAAAAATGACTTGACTCCGTTAAATTTACTTTATTTAAATAGCCTGAGTTTGTAAGCATAGTTATTTGTTTACAAATAAAGACTGGTAGGTAGTCAGCATATTATAATCAAGCAACCTAATTTTAGGCATGACTTGAGGTTTGCAAGATTTAGATTGTGGCATGTTTTTTTGTTTTGTTTTGTTTCAAATATGCCAGAAACGCTCTTTAAAACCCCACAAAGCCACTCATAGATGAACAACAAACAAATACTGATTTCACTCAATATTATCCCTAAGTACCATCTGTTTTAGTGTTTATACATAAAAATTCTAGGCTGAAATATTTGCAATTATATTTACAGGTCAGATATATCTGTACACCAGCATGTGAGACTCAGTGAAACCTGCATTTTACTGATAAAAGATCTTTTCTCTTTACTAGTAATTAAGTTAGATGGTACTACTCCTGTACGGTATGGACTAAGACTGAATATGGATGAAAAGTACACAGGTTTAAAAAAACAGCTGAGCGATCTCTGTGGACTTAATTCAGAACAGATCCTTCTAGCAGAAGTACATGGTTCCAACATAAAGGTAGTATTAACTAATCTTTCTAAGACACTTTTGATTCTGTCCTTCAAAGATGACAATTTTCTCAGTTATTATGATCAGTTGTTAAGTGACCAAGAGAGATAATAAAACATAAAATCTGAACCAAAAAAAAACCCTGTATTTTATGTATTTATGAATGTGTGTTTTTAGTATTTATGAATATATATATACTTGGCCTTTTAACACACTAAGAAATTAAAAGATTAAAGACAACACCAATCATGTCTTTCTACATACCAGCTGGGGAAACAAATAATAATAAATATATTGCCTATATCTGCCTAAGCTCCTGCAACTGGTATTATTTATATTCATCTTTGGGACTTCTGAACACACTCCCACCTCATTGACATTTTCTTAATATGAAATGCAAAAATGAGGTCTGAGGGTTGGAATTTAGATGCTTGAAAGAAAGGACAGAACTTAAGAAGTTGGTCATATACAACACACTACTTCCTGTGGAAAGAGATAATAGTTTGACATTGAGGTTAGTTTTCAGTTATTTTTATCAAGCATTCATCCTTTATGTAATTGAAAAACTATTCAATCATCTTGTTGATTTATGGATGAAGGCATCTAAGACATTCTTTTGAAATACATTAGAGAACTTTTCCATATTATCTGAAACATCTCCCCTTCTTATCTTGCTGCTGTTTCTGTAGAACTTTCCTCAGGACAACCAAAAAGTACGACTCTCAGTGAGTGGATTTTTGTGTGCATTTGAAATTCCTGTCCCTGCATCTCCAATTTCAGCTTCTAGTCCAACACAGACAGGTAAGATAGAACTAGAACTCCTTCTCATGATTGCACCTTTAAATATTTGTCTAAGAGTTGTCATCTTTTCTATATTTGTTCATGCTGAGAATATTATAACAGAAGAATTTTGGAACCCAAGGGAAACCTTACTGATTATTCCATATTTTTTAGATGAGAAACCTAAAATTTAAAGAACCCAAGTGACTTCAGTTAGATAGATAATTATTAGCTAATATACCTATGGAATTCAGATCTCTTTAAACTCTTATCTAATACTAATATGGCAACAGCTATTATGAAAGGAACATACTACCATAAAATATAAACAATAGATGTAGCTAGAAAGAAATCCAGTATTCTATGTAATTAAATGTAGTCACTTACCTGAGTCCTTTTAGCCACTAGTATGCTTTGTCTATTCTTTATATTGTTTACAATTAGGTTAATTAGGCTAATTCCCCAACCATTAAAGGGCTTTATGAGGCTTCCCTCATTGGCATGTAGTAGGTAGATAGTCCTGACAGTAAGTTGGTGGATGATTTAATGTTGGTTTTAGTTTAGGGTTTCACTGTCCAATAGAACTCTGCAGTGATGGAAACTTCTGTGACCTTTGCCATCTAATACAGTATCCACCAGTCACTTGGACTGTTAAGCATTTGAGATGTGGCTAATGAAACTGAGAGGATGCATTTTTATTTTGGTTTATTTATTTATTTTGAGAAAGGGTCTCACTCTGTCACCCAGCCTAGAGTGCAGTGGCATCATCTTGACTCATTGCAGCCTCTGCCTCGTGGGCTGAAGTAATCCTCCCATCTCAGCCTCCCAAGTAGCTGGGACTACAGACATGCACCACCACGCCCAGCTAATTTTTGTATCTTTTGTAGAGATGGGTTTTCACCATGTTGCCCAGGCTGGTCTCTTGCTCCTGGGCTCAAGGATCTGCCTGCCTCAGCCTCCCAAAGTGCTAGGATTACAAATGTGAGCTGCCGCATCCAGCCTAATTTAAATTTTAAATGCAATATCTGGCTAGAGGTTACTGTATCGGGCAGTGTCTTCAGAGGCAAAGAGAAGGAAAAGAAAACAAATGGTAGGACTGTTTGTGTGCTACAACATGGTGCTGATACAGGTTTCTGCAAAAATTCTGCTTAATAGTTTCCAGCAGTTACTCTTTCCTTTTCATTTAGTCAAAAGTAGGAATTAAGGAAGTTAAATTGGAAATTAAAATCTTCCAATAAATCTAGAATTATTTGTACTATAATTTCTTCCTGCCCTGGGTTAAGAGACTACACTGTCACTGGTTCTCAGGATACTTAAGAGCAAAGATGAAAGTACCACAAGCTTATGATGCTGTACTTATCTTTGAATTTGTAGATTTCTCCTCTTCGCCATCTACAAATGGAATGTTCACCCTAACTACCAACGGGGACCTGCCCCGACCACTATTCATCCCCAACGGAATGCCAAACACTGTTGTGCCATGTGGAACTGAGAAGAACGTCACAAATGGGATGGTTAATGGTCATATGCCATCTCTTCCTGACAGCCCGTTTACAGGTTACATCATTGCAGTCCACCGAAAAATGGTTAGTTAAATGTTAGGCAACTTACTAGGTCTTGCTAGTGTCATTTGTGAAATAGCCATTTTCTGTCTTTGTGACATCATTGAATGCATTTTCTTCTCTTTTTTCTTTAATTTTTAAAAATTGAATAATTTTATAAATTTTATTTTTTTACTTTTTTTCCTGTTCTCAAAATCTATTCCTATGAATGCATTTTCAATGTATTCTACATGCTAATATAAGTGATCAGAGCCAGGATTTAGAATTACACATGATGACTAATGTATAAAATGACATTCCTCATCCATATATTAAGAGGCAACAGAATAGTCAATACATCTGAGGACTACTTACTTTAAAAATTTGTGTCTCCTGGCTGGATGCAGTGGCTCACACCAGTAATCCCAGCACTTCAGGGGGCTGAGGTAGGAGGATCACCTGAGCTCCCAAGTTCAAGGAGAGCCTGGGCAACATAGTGAGACCTCATCTCTACCATATATATATATATTTTAAACTAAGTAGGCATGATGATGTGTGCCTATAGTCTCAAGTACTCTGGAGGCTGAGACAGGAGGATCACTGGAGCCTGGGAGGTCAAAGCTGCAGTGAGCCATGCTTGCATTCCAGTCTGGGCAAGACCCTGTCTCAAAAAAAAAAAAAAAACGGTCACGCGCGATGGATCACCTGAGGTTAGGAGTTTGAGACCAGCCTGGCCAACATGGTGAAACCCCATCTCTACCAAACATACAAAAATTAGCTGGGTGTGGTGGCGTGTACCTATAGTTCCAGCTACTTGGGAGGCTGAGGCAGGGGAATCACTTGAACCCAGAAGGTGGAGGTTGCAGTGAGCTGAGATCGCGCCACTGCACTCCAGCCTGAGTGATAAGGCAAGATGCTGTCTCAAAAAAAAAAAAATATCCTAAGCCAGACATGTTTAGGAGGATCCCTTGAGGACAGAATTTTGAAGCTGTAATATGCTATGATGCTCACACCTATGAATAACCACTGCACTCCAACCTGAGCAATAAGTGAGACCTTGTCTCTAAAAAAGTGAAAGAGAAACAAAAACAAAAACCAGCACACATAAACACCATGTTTGTGTCTCCTATGTGTTTATGTACATCTTCACTGCCACATAAATGCAGATGGCTTTGGAAAAGTTTTTTGTTTGTTTTTTTCTTAGAGGACTTAAGAATGTTCTTGGGCAAAACCAAGTTGTGCATAATTCCTCTCTAGATAGACTGATATATAACTATTGCCTTAAAGGTTAAACTCTTTGATAAAAAAGAAAAAGGACGGTTTGAAAACTGTGGTCAGTGGATAATTGTTCAGTAGGTAGTTATCAGGGATAGTGGCAACTTGGTAGAGTAGAAAGAGCACTGAACTAGAAATTTAGCAACCGGTGTTTTAGTTGTAGTGCTTCCACTAGATAGCTGATTGAGCTCTTTCGACTTTGGTGTCCTAATTTGATAAAGGAAAGCAGGGCTTATAGATCATTTCTAAGATCCATCAGTTACCCCTGCCTCTATTCAAAAATCCACTCTTTTTATTTTTTATTCCCATCTAATTTATTATATTTATTGGATAAGATACTCTGTTCTCTACTCATATAAAGAGCAGATGAACCGAGCTTTGTAAGGTTCATGTTGCAAAGTCAACATAATAAAAAAGTAAGTAAATTAATTGTATAGCTGCAACAAGAGAAAATGAAATTGTAAAAAAGGCACTGTATCAGTTTCTTAGGACTGCTATAACAAATTACCATAAATTCGATGGCTTTAAACAACAGAAATGTATTATTTCACAGTCTGGAGGCCAGAAGTCTGAAACCAAGGTTTCAGTAGGGTGGGGGCTTCCTTCAAAGGTTCTAGGAGAGAATGCCTTCTTGTCTCTTCTAACCTCTGGTGGCTGCAGGCATTCTTTGACTTTTGACCACATAACTGCAAATCTCTCCCTCTTCACTTGGACTTCTCCTTCTCTCTGCCTTTCTCTGGTAAGGACACTTACCATTCAATTTAGGGCTCACTCAGATAATCCAGGATGATCTCATCTTCAATTTAATTATATCTGCAAACATCCTTTTATCAAATCAGGTCACATTTACCAGTTCAAGGGGTTAGAACATGGATATACTGTTTTAGGGGCCATCATTCAACTCACTACAGATATTATTTATCATAGTAGCAAAAAAAAAAAAAATGCTGAGAAAAAATTAAGTACCTAGGAATAAACTTTAAAAGTGACACATAAGACATCTATATAGAAGATAAAATATTGATAGATATTAAAGAAGGCTTAAAATATTAGAAGGAATAAACCGTGTTTATAGATTAGAAGACTCAATATTTTAAGAAGGAGTTCTCTACAAACTAATCTACAGATGATTTAATGCACAATCCCAATAAAAATGCGAAGTCTAAGTGTGTTGGTGTGTGTGTGGTATGTGACTTGATAAGTTGATTCTCATATGTGGACATACAAAGCACAAAAAATAACCAAGATACGTTTGAAGAAGAATAAGGTATGAGGATATCATCAAGATTTATTTCATGAGATATGATACCTAAAATGCTTAACCCCTGGTGACTTGATAAATTGTTGATTTAGCTTTTTAACTACTCAGTAAACACCAAACTTCTAAGGGAATTGAATGTTCAACGGTTCGGCAGCTTTGAGTAACCTTGAACTCCCACCAACAATTCCATTATACTAAATGTTTATTAAGCAGCCATTCAGGACAATTCTGAGCAGTAGCTCTGTATTATGGAATATCATTAAAATCTCTTTAACGTACTCAAAGCAAATTTTTAAATTTTTTACCTCATTTTTATCCTATCCTGTATTAAAAAAAAAAAAAGATTAAAGTCACTTAACTGATTTTAGGAAGGTAGATAAGCTTGTTAGAAAATTGAATTACTAGGTTTCACAGGTCTCCAAAACTTTAGGAATTACTGCCCCAACAACCACTATCAACAGCTTATCCCTGGAAAACTACAGTTGAGAGAGCCTTTTTTTAAAAACTGTCATCTTTTCATTTCTTTTTCTTTTTTGAGAAAAGATCTCAGTCTGTCTTCCAGGCTGGAGTGCAGTGATGCAGTCACAGCTCACTGCACCCTCAACTTGCCAGATTCAAGCAATCCTCCCACCTCAGCATCCTGAATAGTTGGGACTACAGATGCATGCCACCATGCTTGGCTAATTTTATTGATTGATTGATTTGAGATGGGGTCTCCTTGGTTGCCCAGGCTGATCTCAAACTCCTGATCTCAAACTCCTCCTCCTGTCTCAGCCTTCCAAAGTGCTGGGATTACAGGCATGAGCCATCACACCTGGCTTACTAGCATATTTTCTGGTGAAAGAAGGAGTCTTAATTGTTTCAAAGCCTTGAGCTATGAAACTATTACCAGTTTTTACATATGATTCAGTATATGTGAGATATGTTTATCAGAGAAAACTGTGGTTTGAAAATATTAATTGCTGAAACCCAAGTTTGATAGAATAGGTGACAACTCTAAAATTGGCAATACCCCAGCCCTTTTAATGACTCTACTGTAACCATTCTCTTTGTGTCAATAAAGATGGTTTTATAAATATAGAGAAGAATGTGACTAAATTGTAAATGGTGATAATGCCTGTTATTGGCAGGGCTAGAAGAACAAAAGGGAGGAATCAGAGCCTGTCTTCTCAACTCTCTCTTCTCTTGTTTGTTCATATAGATGAGGACAGAACTGTATTTCCTGTCATCTCAGAAGAATCGCCCCAGCCTCTTTGGAATGCCATTGATTGTTCCATGTACTGTGCATACCCGAAAGAAAGACCTGTATGATGCGGTTTGGATTCAAGTATCCCGGTTAGCCAGCCCACTCCCACCTCAGGAAGCTAGTAATCATGCCCAGGATTGGTGAGTTCAGGGGATCCATTTAAACTTGTGGTTTCCAAACTCTAGAAAAATAATTTCTGTGTGATTGATAGGACCCATCCTATGTCAAGTTAATCACTCATGGAGAACCACTCAGAAAGCATACACTTCAACCATTTGGTTTGATATTTGGAGTAGGAGAGACTACACAGCTTCCTTTTGTCAGACATTCTCATGTCTAATAATTCTTCCATTCTCTAATCTCTTACCTGAATTCGTACTGCTAATGCTTCAAATAATATCCTTGCAAAAATAGAGAGTATGAATTCACCAGGAAATTTGTATAATCTCAGTCCTCTGAAATTTAGAATAAGAGTGACTGTATATCTATTCACGAACTCTGAAAAGTCTCATGATTTGGGAGGCTTTTTTCTTTTTTTGTTTTTTCCCCATACCATGTTATTTTAACGTAGAGTAATTTTATAAATCTAGATAAAAATAATAAACATTTTCTGTTTTCTTTCTGTTTCTCCTACCACTATTCTGTTTGATTAGTAAATGCATTTACTTTAAATAATTTTTGGGATTGTGTGTCTTATTTTCATCTCAATCAAATTGTAGATCATTTTCTTTGTTTTTTGAGATGGAAGTTTTGCTCTTGTTGTCCAGGCTGGAGTGCAATGGTGCCATCTTGACTCACTGCAACCTCTGCCTCCTGGGTTCAAGCGATTCTCCTGCCTCAGCTTCCCAAGTAGCTGGGATTATAGGTGCCTGCCACCATGCCTGGCTAATTTTTGTATTTTTAGGAGAGACAGGGTTTTACCATGTTGACCAGGCTGGTCTCGAACTCCTGATCTCAAGTGATCTGCCTGCCTCAGCCTCCCAAAGTACTGAGATTACAGGCATGAGCCACCATGCCTGGCCAAAATAAATTATTTAAATAAATAATTATTTAAAGTTTTATTTTGCTGTTTGTTTTTTTGAAACAGAATCTTGCTTTGTTGCCAGGCTGGAGTGCAGTGGCATGATCTCAGTTCACTGCAATCTCCGCCTCCTGGGTTCAAGCAATTCTTGTGCCTCAGCCTCCCAAGTAGCTGGGATTAGAGGCACATGCCCCACCACACCCAGCTGATTTTTGTATTTTTAGTAGAGACAAGGTTTCACCATGTTGGCCAGGATAGTCTCAATCTCCTGACCTCGTGATCCTCCCATCTTAGCCTCCCAAAGTGCTGGGATTATAGGCGTGAGCCACTCACTGTACCAGGTCTAACGTATTTTAAGATTTAAATAAATATTAAAGGAAAACTGCAAATAATAAACAGTTTTTTGATGAATGTTGTGTTTAGTAAAGATAAAAGTTGGACAAGATTAATATTGAAGTGAAATGATTGAATTAAAGGACTTCTAGACGCGGGCTTTTCCCAGGACTTGCTAATGAATTGGATGTGGAGTATAGGGAAAGAGGAATCCAGGCTGGCTTTTTACCCTGAACAATTGTTCATGAATGGTGGTACCATTTAATGGAAAAAGGAAAACTGAAGAAGGAGAAGGTTTTAGTAAGAAATTACAGGAAGTTAAATTCAAGATGTCTATTATATATTCAAGTGAGAGATTCACTCGAATGTCCTTTGCTGGAGATGTAAATATAGATGTCATCAACAAATAGTGGTATTTAAAGCCCTGAGACTAGATGATTAACATTTAAAGAGTGAGAATTAAATAGAGAAGATTCTCATGATGTATACATGTACTCTGAATTTAGTTCGTAATGCATTCCAACATTTAGAGATTGAAAAGGGGAAAAGAAGCATCAAGAGAGATTGAGGCTGGGTGTGGTGGCTCATGCCTGTAATCCCAGCACTTTGGAGGCCGAGGTGGGGGAGGATCACTTGAGGCCGGAAGTTCAAGACTAACCTGGCCAACATGGCGAAACCCCGTCTCTACTAAACATACAAAAATTACCCAGACATGGTGGCACTTGCCTGTAATTCCAGCTACTTGGGTGGCTGAGGCATGAGAATCATTTAAACCTTGGAGGTTACAGTGAGCTGAGATCGCATCACTGCACTCCAGCCTGGGCAACAGAGCAAGACTCTGTCTCAAAAAAAAAAGAGAGAAAGAGATTGAGAAGGAGCAGCCAGTAATGTAAGAAAACCGGGAGTTAAGTGAAGGAATTATTTCAAGAAAGGAGTGATAGTTGTTTCAAATGCTACAGAGGACTGGGAATTGCCCGCTGGATTTGATAAAATGGTCTTTGGTGATCTTTGTGAAAGCTTTCTAGTATGGATAAAGGAATAGCGATTGGATTGGTTTAAAGAGAGAATGGTCCTTCGGACATTAAAAAAGATAGCCAGGCATGGTAGCTCTGACCTGATTCTAGTAGGGCTTGATAAAATTATGGATGAAATAAGAGTGGCCAGGAATGGATGATTATTATAGTCGGGTAATGAATACATAGGAGTTCATTATGTAGTTCTTGACTTTTTGAGTGTTTATGTCAATAAATTTGAAATTTTAGATTAAATGGGCAAAATCTTGGAATTAAGGGTCTATGTAGAAGAGTGATTATTTTTAGGGACAGTGGGTAAAGAGACAAGTGATTTTAGGGCAGCAATTGGAGGTTTCTCTTGGGTCAAAGAATCATTAGAATAGGGATATTTGAATAAGTAAGTGAGCCAGCAAGATAGGAGATGGTGGTTGCAAAGTAGGATACTTGGAATTAAGATTTTGGAGGTAGAAAAGTTTGTATTCATAAGGTCTAGAATATGACAGTTAGAGAGATTTTTTTCCTATGGGGTAGAGGAAGTTATTGTTGGAAGAAAGAAGATCAAGTTATTGTTGGATTAATTGCATTGATGTTGATGTCACCAAGAATAGTAACAGGAGAAGTGGTGCAGAGAAAAACAGTGAACTGAGTGCTCATGCCTATAATCCCAGCACTTTGGGAGGCTGAGACAGATGAATCACAAGGTCAGGAGTTCAGGACCAGCCTGGCCAACATGGTGAAACCCCATCTCTACTGAAAATACAAAACAAAAAAATTAGCTGTACATGGTGGCACATGCCTCTAATCCCAGCTACTTGAGTGGCTGAGGCAGGAGAATCGCTTGAACCCAGGAGGTGGAGGTTACAGTGAGCTGAGATCATGCCACTGCACTCCAGCCCAGGTGACAGTTTGAGACTCCATCTCAAAAAAAAAAAGGAGAAATGCACCTTCCAAGGAGGAATAGCAGGTGGCATAATTCAGTAGCACATGCTACAAGAAGCTGAAATGTTTTAGAAAAGGAAAGAAGATGAAATCCTGTATGGCATAAGAGTAAGGAAGAGATCTATTTTACCTCTGGGTTCTGGAATGTATGAGAATAAAAAGTACAAGGGGTAGGGTATGGTGGCTCATGCCTGTAATCCCAGCACTTTAAGAGGCTGAGGCAGGAGGATCACTTGAGGCTAGGAGTTCAAGACCAGCCTGGAGAACATGGCAAAACGCTGTCTTCACAAAAAAGTGTAAAAATTAGCCAGGTATAGTGGTGCGTGCCTGTAATCCTAGCTACTTGGGAGACTGAGGTGGGAGGATCACCTGAGCCCAGGAAGGTGGAGGCTGCTAGGAGCCATTATTGCACCATTGCACTCCAGCCTGGGCAACAGAGTAATACCTTCTCAAAAAAAAAAAAAAATAGAAAAAGTCTGCAGGGGAAGAAGGATTCTCAAGAAAGCCAGGCTTCATTCAGTTAGAGCAAAAAGGTAAAAGAAATTTTCAGAAGAGAAGTGCTACACAGCTTTCTATGAGAGTGCTCTTGATTGTTTTATCCCTTTATCTTTCTTTTGATTCCTCACTTGTTGCTGGCCTGATTTGGACAGTACAGGCTATCAGTATTCATTCCCTGGATGAGTTTTGCAGAAAGATGGGAACTCCTGTGCCAGGTGTGATTCTAACTTTTGCCCTTAACAGTGTCTCTTTTTTTTTTTTTTTTAAACAATGCCTCTTTGTCATGGTTTCATTACTTTCAGTAGCCCATGTAATAACCGCTAATAGTTTCCAGATGAGCTGTAAAATATGCCACTCCTATGTTATTTCCTTGAATTGCTTCTTTCTCCCCTACCTCCAGTTTTATTGACTATAATTGACAAGTCGGAATTGTATATACATCTAAGGTATACAACTTACGTTTTGAAAATACATATAAATTGTTGCATTGCTTCTTGTTAGGGCAAACATAAGTACATTTTTTTAAAAGTTGGAAAACTCACAGGGCCATCTTGGCATAATCATTGGCAGTTAAAAGAAGTTACTCCAGAAATGGTGTGTAGCTTATAACTCTGAGTAGTTAAGGCGGTACTTAGCATGAACCGTATCAGTGATCCTGATTAAAGAAGATTTCTAAATATACAGCTTTCTGCAGTGTGTCAGTGTTCTTGTCATGGAAAGATCTAATTATTTTAGCTTAATGTGAATTAAATCCTCTGATAGAATTGGGGCTGAAGGATAATTGGTATTTGATTTCATGATTAGCTTATCTTGTTAAATTTTCGTGGGCCACATGGACTCTCTTAGAGACATCTGGCAGTCATATGTCTACCCTTCTGTAAGCCCAGATACAGCATGGGAAACCAGAGTGTGTTTGGTACAGGGCTGCAGCTAATGGATTAGGGCAAGTAACACTGAGCTGTCAACATGAGCATACTGCTGTGGCAAATGCCCCTTCCTGGGATTATTTCAAGAGAAGATGAGAAGGAGGTAGACCTCGAACTAGAAATGCTTCTTAAAACTCTTTATCTTCTCTTCTGTTTCAGTGATGACAGTATGGGCTATCAGTATCCATTTACTCTACGAGTCGTGCAGAAAGATGGGAACTCCTGTGCTTGGTGCCCATGGTATAGGTAAAGTGATCTGCAAAATAATTATTTTAGTAGAATTTCAGCTTTAGATATTATACCATTTTCATAAGATTTCCAGTTTTGAGAAGTAATATGTGAATAATGAGAAACTTAAACTTAAGTAATGTGGCCGGGTGAGGTGGCTCACACCTGTAATCCCAGCACTTTGGGAGGCCAAGGTGAGTGGATCACCTGAGGTCAGGAGTTTGAGACCAGCCTGACTAACATGGTGAAACTCTGTCTCTATTAAAAACATAAAAATTAGCTAGGCGTAGTGATGCATGCTTGTAATCTCAGCTACTTGGGAGGCTGAGGCAGGAGAATCGCTTGAACCCAGGAAGCAAATGTTGCAATGAGCTGAGGTCACACCACTGCACTATAGTCTGGGTAACAAGAACGAAACTCTAGCTAAAAAAAAAAAGTTCATTTTTACTTCCCTTTGAGATTAATAGCTAAGTTTTACTTTTGAGACTTAGCTGGTTTTGTAAACTCTACAGTCCATACTAAATGCATAGCTTGTGATAAACATTTATTATTCTATAACTTCTCCTCTCCTCTCTTTTTTGAGATGGAGACTTGCTCTGTTGCCCAGGCTCGGGTGCAGTGGTACCATCTCGGCTCACTGCAACCTCTGCCTCCCAGGTTCAAGCAGTTCTCCTGCCTCAGCCTCCTGAGTAGCTGGGATTATGGTCATGTGCCACTGACCCAGCTAATTTTTGTATTTTTAGAAGAAATGGGGTTTTGCCTTGTTTGCCAGGCTGGTCTCTCCTTAAATATAAATAAGTTTGCTAGTTCTGAGCACAATAGAATATAATCTTTACTGGACCTTGCTGGAAGTCTGTTCTTGGTTTTTTAAAGAGTTATGGAGATTGATTGGCCATTGCTGTTATAGCAGGGACATTGCCTGATAATGCTAAAGTCCACTTTAGCATTTAGAACTGCAATAGATTTAGCAAACTGAGTCTAAAATAGGCAGTAGAACCTTGACTTTATTATATCCTCCTCCCCTACCTCATCTCCCACCCCACCCCTGCAACTCTATAAACTTTTTTTTTTTCTGGAGACGGATTCTCACTGTCACCCAGGCTGGAGGGCTGTGGTGTGATCTCGATTCAGTGCAACCTCCACCTCCCAGGTTCAAGCGATACTCCTGCCTCAGCCTCCCAAGTAGTTGGGATTGCAGGTTCCTGCCACCATGCCCAGCTAATTTTTGTATTTTTAGTAGAGACAGGTTTCACCATGTTGGTCAGGCTGGTCTTGAACTCCTGACCTCTAGTGATCCACCTGCCTCGGCCCCCCAAAGTGCTGGGTTTATAGGCATGAGCCACCATGCCCAGTCTCTATAAACTTTTTAATGCATTTATTTAACGTGCCATTTTGCAAATAAGGAGCTAGGTTTTATACCAGATAAATTGTCCTACCTCAGAGCTTTAAATAACTGAATTTGGAATGTCTTGACTGCTGTAGTATTTCAAATAGCCAATTCCCGTGTCATTTATTTGCCATAAAGTTCACATCTTCCTGAATATTAACAGTCAGTTATCAAGTACTTTGTAAAACTAAAGAATTGGAAAGTGAAAAGCATGATTCCCTGAAATGATAATAACTATTAATAAGTATCCCTGCATTTATCAGAGTCTGAAGTTAGAAACCCATGACAAATTGTGAGGCCCAGGAGGAAAATAGAAAAGTAGGAAGGGAGAATATTTTTTATTAAAAAAATTTAGATTCCTTCATAATTATTTCTTCCTCTGTGGATCTTTTCTCCCTTTTTAGATTTTGCAGAGGCTGTAAAATTGATTGTGGGGAAGACAGAGCCTTCATTGGAAATGCCTATATTGCTGTGGATTGGGACCCCACAGCCCTTCACCTTCGCTATCAAACGTCCCAGGAAAGGGTAAGTATTTAGAGCCACCATAAAATGGTGGTTTTTATATTGGAAATTTCCCCCAGTTTAACTACTATGCTATTTCTGATTTAGACAGTTTTAAAACAACCAGAAAAACGTTCATTGGCGTACTCTGTCACCTAACATATTGACATGTTTGCTTGGGCTTTTTCATTTTCCAACTTCTAGAGTTCATTGTATTGGGGCATTGTCTTTGTCATTTTGTGTTGCTGAAACAGAGTACCTGAGGCTGGTAACTTATAAAGAAAAAAGGTTTATTTTATTTACCATTTGGCAGACTGGAAAGTTCAAGGACATGGCCCTGGCTTCTGGCAAAGCCTTCTGTGCTACATCATAACATGGCAGAGAAGATCAAAGGGGAACAGACACAGGCAAGAGGGAGGACCAAATAGGAGGAAGATCCTCGCTTTCTAAGAGCTCACTCTTTTGGGAACTAAGTTCTCCGAAGGAGAACTCACTGCTAAGAATGGCACCAAACCATTTATGAGGATTTCACCCCCATGACCCAAACCCCTCCCACTAGGCCTCGCCTTTTAACAATGCCACATTGAAGATCACATTTCTTTCTTTCTTTTTTTTTTTTTTTTGAGAGAAGGAAAGAGAAAAAAAAATAAGTAAAGGAGAGAAAGAAAGAGGGAGAGTAAATGGAAATATTGCTTTATTTTGAAAAAAATTGGGTATTGATGGCCAATCAATGTTTCATTTAAGCTTATGGGTAGGTGTGATGTGGTATTGACAAGAATGTATATTTTGTGTATTTGAAGTGGAGAGCTCTATAAATATTTATTAAGTTTACTTGTTCTGGATCTGAGTTCGAGTCCTTGATATCCTTATTAATTTTCTGTCTCATTGAATCTAAGTCTCGTATCTGGGTGTTAGGATCGTTAGCTCTTGTTGTTGCATTGATCCTTTTACCACTATATCTTTGTTGCTTTAAAATCTATTTTATCCGATACGAGAATTACAACTCCTGCTTTTTATTTATTTGTTATTTATTTTTGCTCTCCATTTGGTTGGTAAATCTTTCTCCATCCCTTTGTTTTGAGTCTTTGTGTATCCTTGCATGTCAAACAGGTCTGGATGTAACATGCCGTTGGGTTTTGGCTGTGTCTTTTGATTGGGGGATTTAGTCAATTTAAATTTAGGGTTACTGCCATTTGATGTTGACTGGCTGTTTTATCCATTCATTGGTGTAAATTCTTCTTTATGTTGGTGCTCTTTACTTTTTGGTGTATTTTTCGAAAGGCTAATACTGGTTGTTTCTTTCTGTGTGTAATGCTTCTTTCAGAAGCTCTTGTAAAGCAGGCCTGGTGGTAATAAAATCTCTGAGTACTTGCTTGTTCATAAAAGATTTTATTTTTCCTTCAGTTGTGAAGCTTAGTTTGGCTGGATATGAAATTCTGGGCTGAAGGTTCTGTTCTTTGAGGATGTTGAATATTGGCCCCCACTCTCTTCTGGCCTGTAGAGTTTCTGCTGAGAGATCTGCTGTAAGTCTGATAGGCTTGCCTTTGTGGGTAACCTGACCTTTCTCTCTGGCTGCCCTTAGTATTTTTTCCTTTGTTTCAACCCTGGTGAATCTAACGATTATGTGCCTTGGGGTTGCTCTTCTTGAGGAATATCTTTGTGGTGTTCTCTGTATTACCTGGGGTTGAATGTTGACCTGCTTTGCTAGTTTAGGAAAATTTTCCTGAATAATATCCTGAAGGGTATTTTCCAGCTTGGATTCATTCTCTCCGTCGCATTCAGGTACACCTATCAAACGTAAATTTGGTCTTTTCACATAGTCCCACATTTCTTGGAGACTTTGCTCATTCCTTTTTATCCTTTTTTCTCTAATCTTTTCTTCACGTTTTATTTCATTAAGTTGGACTTTGACCTCTGATATCCCTTCTTCTGCTTGAACAATTCAAGTGTTTAAACCTGTGCATACTTCTCGGAGTTCCTGTATTGTATTCTTCAGTTCCATTAATTCACTCATACTCCTCTCTAAGTTGTCTATTCTCAATAGGATTTCATCAAACCTTTTTTCAAAGTTCCTGGTTTCTTTACGTTGGGCTACAACATGTTCTTTTAACTCACCGAAGTTTATTATTATCCATTCCTTGAAGAGTGATTCTGTCATCAGGATGCGCTCCTTCTCCATCAAGCCTTGTTCCATTGTTGATGTGGAACTGTGATCATCTTTAGAGGGAGAGGCGTTCTGACTTTGAGTATTCTCAGCCTTTTTACGCTGGTTTCTTCCCATCATTGTAAATTTATCCTCCTGTCGTCTTTGAAATTACCAACTTTCAGATTAGGTCTCTTGAGTGGACGTCCAGGTTGTTAGTTCCCAGGGCCAGAGCAGCGGCGTTAAAACTGATGATGCTTTTCTGCCCAGGATTCTCCTGTCTGGCTTCCTTCTTGTGTCCGTAGTAGGCGACTCTGCCTTCCCGGGGCTCCAAACCTCAGTCAGAAGGGGAACCGGTCCCGTTTACTCTGCGCCAAGCGCTGCCGCGCCGACGTGCCGTCACAGCTGCTGCGCCGGGCTCTGGTGTCCTTCTGGGGACCTGTGCAGGTCCTCCGAACCTGTTTACTCTGCTCAGAGAGCTGCCGCGCCGAGGTGCCGGCGGAACCGCTGTGCCAGCCACGAGAGTCGCGCTGGCCACCCGTGTGTTTCCTCCACTGGGGGATCTTCTGCTCCGTGAGCGACCAGAATTTGTCTGAAAGTGTGGCGTCCTCTAGTTCTTCGCGCCTTCCCTGAGAGCTGCAATCCTGGGATGTTAGCGATCGGCCATCTTGGATCGTTCCTGAAAATCACATTTCAACATCAGTTTTGGTGGGGACAAATAACCCATATCCAAACTATTGCAGGCATTAAATTTCAAAAATATTTATAAGTGAACCTTGAAACAAAACTGTATCTGGCCATGACATGTCAATAAGCATCTCTCTGTTAAATATTATTGAAGTTGCAGCATTTGGTAACCACAATTACTTAGCTCAGATGCGTCCCAGGGCTATAGCTGCTACCTTTAATAGGCTTAGTGATAAGAAAATTTAGAGAATGGATTGAAATATTTTAATTTTGGATACCTTGAGAGCACAACTCAATGGCCACTCTTCATTCTTCACATCCTTCTATTGTCACTCTCTGGCCAGAGCAATTTTTAGATTTTTAAAAATATTACGGGGCTGTCTGTGGACCCTGCCGGGTGCAGGGGTAGCAGAAGGCAAAAAGAAAAAAAAATGTTGCTGCAGAAAGAATTTTAACTCCATACGTAAAAATGTTTGCCTCAGGCAGTTTTTAACCAACCAAATATTATTTGAAGGCTAAAGACATTAAGAATCTGATAGAGAGGTAAAAGCAATGGAGTAAAAGGAGTTTATTAAGCCACATGAGGAATTGTAGTGGTTTTTGCATTTTTATGGCTCTTGATTCTTGATTAGTTGGAAATTTCCTGCATGATTTCTTTTTTCTTTTCTTTTCTTTTTTCTTTTCTTTTCTTTCTTTCTTTCTTTCTCTTCCTTCCTTCCTTCCTTCCTTCCTTCCTTCCTTCCTTCCTTCCCTCCCTCCCTCCCTCCCTCCCTCCCTTCCTTCCTTCCTTTTCTTTCTCTCTCTCTCTTTCTTTCTTTCCTTTCTTTCTTTCTTTCGAGACAGAGTCTTGCTCTGTCACCCAGGCTGGAGTGCAGTGGCGCACTTTATAGTGGTTGCTTTTGTATTAAGATCTTGGCTCACTGCAACCTCTACCTCCCAGGTTCAAGCGATTCTCCTGTCTCAGCCTCCTGAGTAGCTGAGACTACAGACATGTGCCACCACGCCTGGCTAATTTTTTGTATTTTTAGTAGAGACAGGGTTTCACCATGTTAGTCAGGATGGTCTTGACCTCCTGACCTCGTGATCTGTTCACCTTGGCCTCCTAAAGTGCTGGGATTACAGGCATGAGCCACCGCGCCCAGCCCACTGTTCCTTAAAGCATTCCCTTTGGATAAGTTAGTAATGGTAATTGACTTTATTGTCTTGTTATGCTATTGAGGACTGGGGAAACTTCCAATTCTAGACCTAGTGTCCTGTTTAGATCCCAAAATATGCCCCCATACACCAAGGCTCTTGGGAGCCCTTTCTAGCCAGGAATGAGTATAATTTGTGGATACTTGTCAAATGAAAGATCACTGGGCTAAAGCTAGAGAAACTGATGTTCTAGATCACGGTCACTAGCAAGGTAATTCAGTAAACTCAGTCATACTTCCTTTGAGGAGGGAAAATGTTCACAGTTGATAGATTCATAAATCTTTGTCAGCACAAAATCTGATAGGACATTATTCTGACAAGGCATTACTGTCAATGATGATAAATTATTTGGCTCTATAAATCTCTTCCCCTTTTTAACAAGTTCAGTGGGCAATCTGAAAAGCTCTGGAGGACATCCTGCTTATAGGCAACAGGGTCTGCGTGACCTGTTAAATCTTACCATACGTCCACTTTCAGTGATGCACTTAGGATACCATGGAAACAAAGGGCTATCGAGGTATCTTGCCTTGCTAGGGAATGGGGCCGTATGACTATTTTGGCTCCCCTACATATAGGGTTTCTGCATGTGCTTAGACACATAGACAAAGGAGATACCTTGGTTCAAACTGAGATTATTGCCTATATGCTTTACATTTTTTTATTCCAGTGATTTCCCTTTTAGGAATGTATCTTAGGGAAGTAGAATACAATTACTCCATAATTTGCAGGCAGATATCATCATAGCATTTTTTAGGATAGTAAACAGTTATAAACAACTTATATTTGTCTCACGTTAGAGGAATGATTACATAAAGCGTGGTGTATTCATTGGATAAAATATAATGCAGTTGTTGAAAATGATTGCCAGGAGTTTTTGCTAACATTTATGGGAAGATGCTTATGATATTATGTGAAAAATTTTTTAAAAAACAAGATATAAAGTTGCATATACTGGAAATAATACCTTCAATATTGAAAAAGTTTCTATTTAGGAAAAACAATAGAAGAAAATCTGCCAATATTTTGACAGTGGTTGCCTTTGTATTAAGAATATAAAAGGATTATCTGCCTTTTTACATTTTTCTCTGCTTTCCAAAATTTCCTCATGAATATTGTACTGGTAATCAGAAAAAAAAATAAAGGGCAATCACTCTTATCGTTTACATTTCTCTCCTGTTTGGACCTCAGACTTCTCAGTAGAAAATTAAACTAGATACCAGCCTGGGCAATATAATGACACCCTGTCTTTACAAAAAATGCACAAATTAGCCAGGTGTGTTGGTGTATACCTGTAGTCCCATCTATCTGGGAGGCTGAGGTTGGAGGATTGCTTGAGCCCAAGATGTCAAGGCTGCAGTGAGCTGTGATCTCCCCACTGCACTCCAGCCTGGGCAACAGAGCAAGACGCTATCTCAAAAAAAGAAGAAAGTTAAACTAGATAAATTTTAGGCCTCTCTCTTTTTTTAATAGTCTTATAAATATATGAAAGATATTATTTCATTTCCTGTGTTTTATGTTGAAGATGAGCTTTAAAGCAATTTTGAAAAAAGAAGAGGGTGCCTGTAAGTCATTTATAGACTATTTAAACAATAGAGGATCTGAGCCTAGATCCCAAGAGGTAAAGGGAATCTTTATCACTTTGGGAAATTTTATTGATAAATATAAATTATTGTCAGTCTACTTCACAATTATTTTGTATCAGCCTTGTTTCCTCCCTGTCTTCATCTAGCACTGTAGCCTGCATTCCACAGAAAATATGGCCAATAAAAATGAACATTCTTTACTAGCTTGCTATAATTTGTAGTTGGCCATAAAGTATTCCTGGTAGAGATAATAGGATAATATTTAACTGGCTATGAGAAAAGAAACACTGCTGTATTTGATTCACCCCTTTTTCTGCTCATTCCAACATGCAGCATATTTCCTTTTGAAGCAGGTCAGTTTTTTCTTTGAGTGACCAGTTCAAAAGATGATGACAGTTAATATCTTGTTACTACAGAATTTGTATTAAAAAAAGAAGTCTATAACCCAAATCTAAGCTAGATTTCCTTTTCTAAAAATAGAATTTCCCTCTAAGTTCCCCTTTTTAAATGAGTTCTTTAGACTGGATAGTTATGCAGTACTAAAACCTTTAATTGCACAATCAAACCCAACCTTGCTAATTTAGTTTATAGCAGCACTTGACAGCCTCCTGACTCAACCATCCTGTCCTATAGGGAAAAAGTCTCAGCTGAAACCCGTTCTAAACTGAATGTCCTGCTCAGTGCCAATTTGTATTCCAGGCAGCCTAATGTTCCCATCATGAGTTTTAGGAAGGGAAATTCATGGAGGGATTTGCCTCAGAAGAACCCATTCACCTCTGGAAGGGGGGAGCAATAAATAGTGTGTGTGATGGACATATGCGACCCTTGCCACAGAGAGGCAGTCAGTGTGGGGCCTTGTGGTCTGGGCTCAGCTTTGGGACACAAATATCTATTGTGTGAACTCTCATGGTAGCATTCATAACCCTGATGCCTCACCCACTTTCCCATATATGATAAAGACAAACAGAAGGATCCCAGCTGTTTGGTTCTTGATTGTTTGTCAGGTAGCAACCAGGAATGGGAGAGGGGAAAATTCTTTTCTGTTGTACTCTACATCCTTCCTTCTCTCCTTCCTCTTCATTCTACACCACCCCCAACATACATCCCTGAGCCCCACCCATTCTTTGCTCTCTCTCCTTTCTTGTGCTTAACTCCTTCTTGCTCTACAGCCTAACATGCTGATTAACAGGACCCCAAAGGTTTAGGTGGGTATTAGGGGCCTTCTCAACAAAAGCAGCACACTCTTTTGAGCTTACTCTTCCTTTTGTTGCCATCTCAGATAAAAAGGCCCCACTAGGGAGGAGACATAATTATAGAGTATTCTGATAACTCTGTGTTACATGGTATCAGATGCAAATGAGTTGTACCCTATAGGGTTTCATCATCTGCTGTGTTGTCATCTCATGGTGAGCTTTTCTGTGCCCTTATTTCATCCAGATCTGGCTTCTGCATTTCATGTTATTTCTCCTAGCTTCTGTAAAGTCTGCAGCATGCTAATAATGCTCTGGCTTTCTGATTAAAAATAAATGGCTCACTGTCAGCATCCTGGTGGCTTGAAGGCCAGCTCACATATAATCCCTTATAGGATTCCAAAATGGTTAAATAAATACAATTCTTTGTTTTTGTTTTTGTCATTTTGAAGCATTCAAAAATGTTTCAAGAAAAGCTATGGTCATATAAATAGAAATTTTATCCAGAATATTACTGATGTGAGACTTGTGAATAAATGTGTAGGTAGTTTTTGAGTCTGTATTTGCTCAGACTCTAGGGTGGGTTGTGTTTTCTTCTCCTTTTTTTTTTTTTTGAGATGGAGTTTCGCTCTTGTTACCCAGGCTGGAGTGCAATGGCGCAATCTCAGCTCACCGCAACCTCCACCTCCTGGGTTCAGGCAATTCTCCTGCCTCAGCCTCCTGAGTAGCTGGAATTACAGGCACATGCCACCTTTTAGTAGAGATAGGGTTTCACCATGTTGACCAAGATGGTCTCAATCTCTTGACCTCGTGATCCACCCGCCTCGGCCTCCCAAAGTGCTGGGATTATATGCTTGAGCCACTGTACCTGGCTTCTTTTCCTTTTTTTTGAGACAAAGTCTCTCTCTGTCATATGGGCTAGAGTGCAGTGGCATAATCACGGCTCACTGCAACCTCTACCTCCCAGGCTCAAGCAATCCTCCTGAGTAGCTGGAACTACAGATATGTGCCACAACACCCAGCTTATTTTTTAATTTTTCTTTTACAGAGATAGGATCTATGTTGGCTAGGCTGGTTTCGAACTCCTGGACTCAAGCAATCGTCCCACTTTGGCCTCCTAAAGTGCTGGGATTACAGGCATGAGCTACCATACCCAGCCAGTTGTATTTTCTTTTTCCTTATATAGAGTAAGATGAGGGTGAGTGACCAAGAGGACGATGCATAGCTAACTGGATCACCACTTCAAATGCCTTCCCACACCCCCCTTTCCTCCTGTTCTCTCTTCCTGCAGGTCGTAGATGAGCATGAGAGTGTGGAGCAGAGTCGGAGAGCACAAGCCGAGCCCATCAACCTAGACAGCTGTCTCCGTGCTTTCACTAATGAGGAAGAACTAGGGGAAAATGAAATGTACTACTGTTCCAAGTGTAAGACCCACTGCTTGGCAACCAAGAAGCTGGATCTCTGGAGGCTTCCACCCATCCTGGTATGTTACAATCTGCCTCTGAAAGAGCAGGAATCTAGCATACAAGGAAGAAGATATAAACCAACAAGAGGTTTTGTTTTTTGGGTTTTTTTTTTTGAGACGGAGTCTTGCTCTATCCCTAGACTGGAGTGCAGTGGTATGATCCCAGCTCACTGCAACCTCTGACTCCCTGGTTCAAGCAATTCGCCTGCCTCAGCCTCTCAAGTAGCTGGGATTACAGGCATGCACTACCATGCCTGGCTAATTTTTGTATTTTTAGTAGAGATGGGGTTTCACCATGTTGGCCAGGCTGGTCTCGAACTCCTGAACTCATGGTCTGCCCTCCTCGGCCTCCCAGAGTGCTGGGATTACAGGCGTGAGCCACCATGTCCAGCTGATTTTGTTATTTTTGAGAATAAGACCCTTCCTGCTGCGGTGTTTAAACCACTTTCTGTACAAGGTTTTTATGTTGAATACAGAGATGAATCTTTCTACAAATGTTTGGTAATTCCTTTTCCTAAAGAGCATGTAACCTAGAAGAAGAGAGTAGACCAGTAACTGCAATTCAGTGCAATATGAGAATTGCCACAAGGGGTCCAATGTGGTGAATGTAAACTTCAGAAGAAGGTGAACTTCTGGGTCTGTGGAGAGAGGAAGCTTAGGCTAGCCCTTTGTGGACTCTAGAAGAGCAACTGAGCCCGGAGCCAGCACCCACTGCGCATAGTCATGTGGCTGTGGCACCCAGCTGAGTTGAGTGTGTGTACACAAGCATACCAGTGCCCTGGGGCCTGTGAAGAGGCCTTTATGAAAACCATATTTTTGAAGTATTTAAAGAATAATGAAGGGTTTCTGTTATATATTCCCAAATATTCACATGTATTAGACCTGTTTTTTCCATGTAAATTTTGTATCTTCAGAACCCTTTAATACAGATGTTTTCTAACTTCTCCAGATAATTCATCTTAAGCGATTTCAATTTGTAAATGGTCGATGGATAAAATCACAGAAAATTGTCAAATTTCCTCGGGAAAGTTTTGACCCGAGTGCCTTTTTGGTACCAAGAGATCCAGCTCTCTGCCAGCGTAAACCACTCACACCCCAGGGGGATGAGCTTTCTGAGACCAGGGTTCTGGCAAGAGAGGTGAAGAAAGTGGATGCGCAGAGTTCAGCTGGGGAAGAGGACGTGCTCCTGAGCAAAAGCCCATCCTCACTCAGCGCCAACATTATCAGCAGCCCAAAAGGTGAGACCTGGGGCCTATGCAGGTGCCTTCTTGGGACCCTTGTAGGCTACATATGTTTCTCTGTCTTCTGTTCTGGAACATCAGGTTAGTTGGGTGGAAGGAAACTATCTGAAATTGGACCTACCTATATTTGAGCTATGTAACTTTTAGCAAGAGATTCAGCCTCCTTGAATCTATTTCTCATCTGTAAAATGGAGATAATAGCAGGTTTACACAGAGTTGAGAGTTTGACACATGGAGAGTAAAGCACTTCACACAGTGCCTGATACCCAGTAAACAGGAATGGTAGCTGCTGTCTTGTCCCCTTATAGCAAAAGTTCTGAGGTTCCCCGTCTTTCAGGGGGTCCAGAGGATCAAAACTCTTATTTTATTTTATCTTATCTTATTTTATTTTATTTTATTATTATTTTTTTTTAGTTTAAATGCATTTTATTTTTAGAGAACCTACATGACATGTTTTTCTTAAAAACAATGCCTCCACTCCAAATAAATCACGGTCAAAATAAATGAAGAGCTCAAGATCACATCAGTCCCATTTGTCTTAAGTCCTGGTGTGTGGATGACAAGCAGAAGCCAGTTATGACGACAGGTGATAGATCCAAAGTAATTGCCAAATTTGTTAACATTTTTCCATTTCTAAACCATCCTTAAAGAAAATCATATATGGGGTCACACCATCCTCACGGTAGTCCAATAGAGCAACCATGCTATCTGGATTCATGTTTTCACCAATAAAGAACTGGTAGTTTTTGAAATTAGCAAGGATGTGCTTGATTTGTTCGGCAGCCCCCGTCATAAAAGGTTTTACTCTTTCTGGTCTCTGTTCTTCAAGTTTGCCTTTGATTGATTTCATGTAATCTTTGATGTACTTCTTGTAGGCTTCTTTTGTGAAACTTGTTTCCTGCAGGTGATGATTCATGACAATATCGACACCAGTGACTACTGTGCTTTTGGTACCTTCGCCCCCTCGGGGCTTCGGCGGAGGCATTTCCACCAATCAATGTTACCTTCTGTCCTACTGACCATCTTCCCCTCCACCTCCAGGCACAGCCAGTCCGCGATCTCCCGGATCTTGTAGATGTCAGAGAACATCTCATCGTGGCTGATGAGATCCCGGTAGATAATCAAGATGGCTGCTGACGGGAGAGGATGGCGGCGCTAGCTTAGCAGGAGCCCGACGCTCGGAACGAGCGCTGTGCAGCCGAAGCCGCGCTAGCGGGGAGGGGGGAACGGGCGGAAAAGGCCGACTCAGCCGCTCCCCAACCTCATATAGAGGGCACGTCTCTTACATCATCGTTCGCTGCGCCCTTATTTTATTTTTGAGACAAGGTCTTACTCCGTCATCCAGGCTGGAGTGCAGTGATTCAACAGAGATCATAGCTTACTGTAGCCTCGACCTCCTGGGCTCAATTGATCCTTCCACCTCAACCTCCTGAGTAGCTGGGACTACAGGCACACACTACTGTACCTGGCTAATTTTTGTAGAGATTGGACTTCACCATGTTTCCCAGACTGAACTTGAACTCCTGAGTTCAAGTGATCCTCCTGCTGCGGCCTCCTATAGTGCTAGGATTACAGGCATGAGCCACTGCACCTGGCCCAAAACTATTTCCATAAAAATACTAAGACAATATGTGCCTTTTCACTTTTATTATCTCACAAATGTACAATGGTGTGAGAGACAACATGACATGGGATGATATTGTAACTTTGACAGTGAAATCCGTACTAATGTATTGTACTTTTTCATTCCTCAGTTTTAATTTGTAATATGGGAAATATTGATATATAAAATTTACATAGGAACAATCCAAGATGGCCAATCGATAACATCTCGGGATTGCAGCTCTCAGTGAAAGCGCAGAGAACTAGAGGACGCCACACTTTCAGACAAATCCTGGTCACTGACAGAGCAGAAGATTATCAGTGGAGGAGCCACATGGGTCGCCAGTGCGACTCTTGTGGCCGGCACAGCGGTTTTGCCGGCACCTTGGCGCGGCAGCTCTTGGAGCAGAGTAAACAGGGCTGGCTCCCCTTCTGACCGAGGTTTGGAGGACCCACACAGGTCCCCAGCACAACTCCTGAGGCCGGCACAGCGGTTGTGACGGCACCTCGGCGCAGCAGCTCTCGGCGCAGAGTAAACGAGACTGGTTCCCCTTCTGACTGAGGTTTGGAGCCCCGGGAAGGCATAGTCGCCTATTACGGACACAAGAAGGAAGCCAGACAGGAGAATCCTGGGCAGAAAAGCACCATCAATCTTAATGTCGCTGTTCTGGCCCTGGGAAATAACAACTTGGACGTCCACTCAAGAGACCTAATCTGAAAGTAGGTAATTTCAAAGACGACAGGAGGATACATTTACAATGATGGGAAGAAACCAGCATAAAAAGGCTGAGAATACTCAAAATCAGAACACCTCTCCCTCTAAAGATGATCACAGTTCCACATCAACAATGGAACAAGGCTTGATGGAGAACGAGCGCATCCCAATAACAGAATCACGCTTCAGGGAATGGATAATAAGAAACTTCTCTGAGTTAAAAGAACACGTTGTAGCCTAATGTAAAGAAACTAGGAACTTTGAAAAAAGGTTTGACGAAATCCTATTGAGAATAGACAGAGAGGAATATAAGTGAATTAATGGAACTGAAGAATACAATACAGGAACTCCAAGAAGTATGCACATGTTTAAACACTCGAATTGTTCAAGCAGAAGAAAGGATATCAGAGGTCAAAGTCCAACTTAATGAAAGAAAACAAGAAGACAAGATTAGAGAAAAAAGGATAAAAAGGAGTGAGCAAAGTCTCCAAGAAATATGGGACTATGTGAAAAGGCCAAATTTACATTTGATAGGTGTACCTGAATGCGACGGAGAGAATGAATCCAAGCTGGAAAATACCCTTCAGGATATTATTCAGGAAAATTTTCCGAATCTAGCAAAGCAGGTCAATATTCAACCCCAGGTAATACAGAGAACACCACAAAGATATTCCTCAAGAAGAGCAACCCCAAGGCACATAATCGTTAAATTCATCAGGGTTGAAACAAAGGAGAAAATACTAAGGGCAGCCAGAGAGAAAGGTCAGGTTACCCACAAAGGCAAGCCTATCAGACTTACAGCAGATCTCTCAGCAGAAACTCTACAAGCCAGAAGAGAGTGGGGGCCAATATTCAACATCCTCAAAGAACAGAACCTTCAGCCCAGAATTTCATATCCAGCCAAACTAAGCTTCACAACTGAAGGAAAAATAAAATCTTTTATGAACAAGCAAGTACTCAGAGATTTTATTACCACCAGGCCTGCTTTACAAGAGCTTCTGAAAGAAACATTACACACAGAAAGAAACAACCAGTATTAGCCGTTCTAAAAATATACCAAAAAGTAAAGAGCACCAGCATGAAGAATTTACATCAACGAATGGATAAAACAGCCAGTTAACATCAAATGGCAGTAACCCTAAATTTAAATCGACTAAATCCCTTAATCAAAAGACACAGTCAAAACCCAACGGCATGTTACATCCAGACCTGTTTCACATGCAAGGATACACAAAGACCCAAAACAAAGGGATGGAGAAAGATTTACCAACCAAATGGAGAGCAAAAATAAATAAATAAATAAAAAGCAGGAGTTGTAAATCTTGTATCGGATAAAATAGATTTTAAAGCAACAAAGATATAGTGGTAAAAGGATCAATGCAACAACAAGAGCTAACGATCCTAACACCCAGATACATAGAGACTTAGATTCAATGAGACAGAAAATTAATAAGGATATCAAGGACTCGAACTGAACAAGTAAACTTAATAAATATTTGTAGAGCTCTCCACTACAAATACACAAAATATACATTGTCAATGCCACATCACACCTACTCATAGGTTTAAATGAAACATTGATTGGCCATTATTAATACCCCCTTTTTTTTTTTCAGAATAAAGCAATATTTCCGTTCACCCTCCCTCTTTCTCTTCCTCTTTCTTCCTCTCCTTTACTCATTTTTTTTTCTTTCCTTCTCTCAAAAAAAGAAATCAACTTGTAAACCTCTAGATCCAGATCGGCAATGTCTCTCTCATTGCTTGATTTTCTTCCTTCCCTACCTCCCTCCTTCCCCCCTTCCTCCCTTCCTTCCTTTCTTCCTTCATCCCTCCCTTCCTCCCTCCCTTCCTCCTTCCCTCCCTTCCTGCCTTCCTCCCTAAAAAAAAAAAAAAAATTACGTAAAAGTTCTAAGGGTCCTCAATCATTTTTAAAGGTATAAAAGTGGGTGGGGCAAGAGGGTATAACCAAAAAGTTTAAAGCCTTACAGGATTTTTGTAAGACATAGAGATAACAGTAGACAGCAAGAAATTCCCAGTACCACATCTAACAATAGAAAGTACTCAATAAATGGTGGTCATAGTTTTTGTCTAATTTTACAAAGGAGAAGAATATGTATTTGGAAAACTCCGAAGTCTGATAGTTACACTTTTTTTCTATTGAATCTGACATAAATCATCTTTCTGCTATTTTCTGAGTCCCTATAATGTACTTTACATTTTCAGGATATTGTTGATTGTAGGGACTTGGCATTGAAGAAGACAAAAATATAACTTACTGGCTACATAATAGGAACTAAAGAGTAGCGAGTCACAACTCCCCTATCTTTACCTTTGTGTATGCAGTTATGAAGCTAACCTTAGAGTTAGCATTTGGGGCCGGCTTACCTTGTGGCATTTGGATTTGTCAATCTTTTCTTCTCTCCTGTTCCCAGGTTCTCCTTCTTCAACAAGAAAAAGTGGAACCAGCTGTCCCTCCAGCAAAAACAGCAGCCCTAATAGCAGCCCACGGACTTTGGGGAGGAGCAAAGGGAGGCTCCGGCTGCCCCAGATTGGCAGCAAAAATAAACTGTCAAGTAGTAAGGAGAACTTGGATGCCAGCAAAGAGAATGGGGCTGGGCAGATCTGTGAGCTGGCTGACGCCTTGAGCCGAGGGCATATGCTAGGGAGCAGCCAACCAGAGCTAGTCACTCCTCAGGACCACGAGGTAGCTTTGGCCAATGGATTCCTTTATGAGCATGAAGCATGTGGCAATGGCTACAGCATTGGTCAGCTTGGAAACCACAGTGAAGAAGACAGCACTGATGACCAAAGAGAAGACACTCGTATTAAGCCTATTTATAATCTATATGCAATTTCGGTAAGTGATTTATTATATGGTTTTCAGAGAGAGGTCTGTGTTTTGTTCACCTGTCTTCATGTATTCATCAGCAAGTATTTTTTCAGGTCCTGTTTATTTCTAGGCATTAGTGATAGACAAAGTTACATAAATCTTGGCCTGCCCAGATGTGATGGCTTACACCTGTAATCCCGGCATTTTGGAAGGATGAGGCAGGAGGATCGCTTGAGCCCAGAAGTTTGAGGCCAGTCTGGGCCCCATCTATACAAATACTTTTAAAATGGAGCGAGGTGGCCGGGCGCGGTGGCTCACGCCTGTAATTCCAGCACTTTGGAAGGCCAAGGTGGGTGGATCACTTGAGGTCAGGAGTGCAAGACCAGCCTGCCCAACATGGTGAAACCCCATCTGTACTAAAAATACAAAAATTAACTGGGCGTGTTGGCGTGCACCTGTATTCCCAGCTACTTGGGAGGCTGAGGCAGGAGAATCACTTGAACCCGGTAGCAGAGGCTGCAGTGAACCAAGATTGTGCCACTGCACTCCAGCCTGGGTGACAAGAGTGAAACTCTGTCTCAAAAAAAAAAGGAGCAAGTTATGGCGGCGTGTGCCTGTGGTCCCAGCTACTTGGAAGGCTGAGACAGAATGATCACCTGAACCCCAGAAGTCAAGTGTTTAGAGAGTTGTGATCATTCCAGCCTGGGTGATAGAGTAAGTCAGTGTCTCAAAATAATAATAATTACAATTATAAAATGATTGTTTATCCACACAAGACTTGGAGCTTATGACTTCTGAGTTTTGCTTTTTGTTTACTTTGGTTTTACAAAAAATTTTTTTTACCTACTGATCGTTTACATGATCAGTGTTCTTCTGCTCAGATCCTAGAGCTATGCCCTGGCCATAGTACAATTAACTACTAACATACTTCCAATCTCTTATCTCTTACAGTGCCATTCAGGAATTCTGGGTGGGGGCCATTATGTCACTTATGCCAAAAACCCAAACTGCAAGTGGTACTGTTACAATGACAGCAGCTGTAAGGTAAACATTCTCAATCTTTGAATGAAAGTTGGAAACAGAATATCAACAGATCTGGGGAACATTTGTTGAAATAATGGACTATCTCCTTATTCAGGAAATAGATGTTTCTGTTAGAATCAATATATAGATGCTGTCATTATTAAAGGAACAAAAGTGATATGTAGAGTAGGGAATGAAAACATGAGTAGTGAGGAAAAAGAGTGAATTGGCCAGGCCCAGTGGCTCACGCTTGTAATCCCAGTACTTTGGGAGGCTGAGGCAGGCTGAGGAGCCAGATCACTTGAGGTCAGGAATTTGGGACCAACCTGGCCAACATGGTAAAAACCCATCTCTACTAAAAATACAAAAATTATCCAGGCATGGTGGCACACGCCTGCAATCCCAGCCACTCTGGAGGCTGAGGCAGAAGAATCGCTTGAACCTGGGAAGTGGAGATTGTAGTGAGCCAAGATTGCACCACTGCACTCTAGCCTGGGCAACACAGCAAGACTCCATCTCAAAAAAAAAAAAAAAGGAGTTAATTAATGCAAAAGTCTTCTATCTTCTGGACTGTTAGAATTTGATAGGGTTTTAGGTCATTCTTTTTTGACTTGTCTGTGGTCAAAATATTTTCCCCAGAGCAAACATTGGAAATAATGGGGCTCATTTTAAAGGGGCAGGTGTGAGATAGCCAAACTAGTGAGCCTATTGGAAGCAATCATGTTTAGTAATTAGAGAGGGTTGGTTTTCCCTTCCCTGGCAGGGATTTAGAGCCATAATAGTGATGGCTTTTTGTTAAAGGTTTTTCTTGCCCTTTCAGGAACTTCACCCTGATGAAATTGACACCGACTCTGCCTACATTCTTTTCTATGAGCAGCAGGGGATAGACTATGCACAATTTCTGCCAAAGATTGATGGCAAAAAGATGGCAGACACAAGCAGTATGGATGAAGACTTTGAGTCTGATTATAAAAAGTACTGTGTGTTACAGTAAAGCTACCACTCTGGCTGCTAGATAGCTTGGTGGTGAGGGAGATGACTCCTTGTAGCTGACATTTGGCAGAAGCGTCACTGAAAGGCAAGCTAACTGTAGTTATTTTATCCTGTGACCCTGAAGCACAAAATAAAAATTCTAATTAAAATAGTTAACTTTAAGAGTAGTAATAATTTTATTTTGAAGTCTCATACAAGCTCTCTGACAGAACTTTCAGGCAGATCCCACCATTAGCCTGTAAACAAAGAGTTTGGCACCAGCCACCTGGGACCAAATAACTCAACTGTGCTTGTCCAGACGTGAACAAATATGTAGTGAGTATAGAGTTTACCAATAATCATAACAAATATTAAAGATTTCCTTGGAGTCAAAGTAAAAAACAAAAAATTATAATGTTGTCTAGGGACGACATGATATGCTACCTCCTTTTTCCTGAAGTTTTATTCCATTATATTGACAAGATGGAGAAAGCAAGATCATGAAGGTGTGCAAATGATTCTTATGGCATGGATGATGATTTATTTATTTATTTTTTAAATTGTTTCCCTACTCTGTCGTTCTTGCTTTTTGTTTTTGTCATTGTGTTTGTGTTTGAGACACAACCAGTCATTGGTGGCAGGGGCATATAGTGGTTAGTCTGAAAGGGAGGCTTTCTTAAGGGCTATGTGCCTTCCACCCAGAGCCTTGTGGGAGACCCAGCAAAAAGAAAAAGCATCCTGGGAAATCCAGCTACCATGGCCCTCCCAGTGGAGGCATCTTATATTTAGGATACTTCAAGTATCCTCAGAAATGTATTCCACACCCCCAGCCCCCACCCATGCTGAGGGAGGGGACGTTTGCCAATATTTGCATCATCTTCACATGCACATGTTGCAACAAGAGCTTCTGGGAAGGTAAGCGTCTTCGGAGCTAGATCAAGTTTCACAATTAGTGGTTCTTTTCCGTGTTTGTTTTGCACTTTAGAAAAGAGAGAACACATGCAAATGAACCTGCTTGTGTGTATTTGATGGCTCTAAGGGCTATAAATTAAAACAAAATACATCCCAGACGTTAGGAGTTCATAAATTTATTTAAGGAAGTTGGTGGTTTTAGGAAGTCAACTTTAGTTTTGCTTTATTTGCATGTCCACTAATTTTTTTATTTTGATATTTGTCTTTTTAAAAAATTTTACAGTAGTCATCAAAAGTTATGTTTCTTTGCTTCATTTTTTCCTCCAATTATTCAAGACTGGAACAAACATATAAATATTATTTATTTCAGGTAGCATTTTTTTTCTGTGTAGTGTTTTAAATATATATTTGAAGGAAATGTTTCACCTTGTTTTTGGTCTTTGTTTATTCATTTAGAGCCTTCGGGTTGATTCTCATTAATTGTCAGATTCCACTACCCTTTCTTCCTCATAGGTAGTAATTACCAATGTAACTAAGCATTTGTGTTCTGATATCTGAGGCCAGTAACTATTAATATCTAGTTCTTTTCAGAGCATTTGGAATGGTTACCTTAAATGACTACCTAAGTTGAAATCCTTTTCAGAAGAAATATAATTGCAAGTAGAAAGGAGTGGCCTAAATTGTATAATGTAATAAATTCAGACAAAATGCATACTTTATAGTTTCAGATTTTCAGTATATAAAATGTGTCCATTCCTACCTGGACATGTCCCATTAAAAAGTGGAAGATTTGGGCCGGGCGCGGTGGCTCAAGCCTGTAATCCCAGCACTTTGGGAGGCTGAGGCGGGTGGATCACGAGGTCAAAGATCGAAACCATCCTGGTCAACATTGTGAAACCCCGTCTCTACTAAAAATACAAAAAATTAGCTGGGCATGGTGGCGTGTGCCTGTAATCCCAGCTACTCAGGAGGCTGAGGCAGGAGAATTGCCTGAACCCAGGAGGCAGAGGTTGCGGTGAGCCGAGATCGCGCCATTGCACTCCAGCCTGGGTAACAAGAGGGAAACTCTGTCTCAAAAAAAAAAGTGGAAGATTTTAAATAATTTCTTTACAGATGTTTTATTTAAGCAGGTAGCACAATCTACTAATGTTGTTTGATGTGTGTTTGTTATACTGGTTGTAATTAATTTTTTTTAATTCACGAACTAGCAGAAAATTTATTAAATTAACTATTAACTACATTCACCTTGTAAATTACTGTATAAAACTTGTTGACAATGCACTGACTTTAGAAAGATGTTAATGTACATAAATAGAGTGTAAATAAAATAGTGTTGATGTACTGAAATATGAACTGTATAAAAAGTATTGGTCATTGTATATGGGGTGTACCTGTTTATCTGTAACTATTATTCAAACAAATTAAATACTGTGGATGCCTCTATGTGCTGTTTTGCCTCATACAAGTAAACACAGAAAGTCAAATTCTTCAACCTCTCTGTCTGTGATCCTGTTTTAATTCTCCTACTTTAATAATTTCTTTCTGACTTATAGAGGGGATGCTTCATCTCTGAGGTTGGAAACTGTACAGCAGGATTCCCCAACCCTGGGGCTATAGACCAGTACTGTCCTTGGCCTGGTAGGAACTGGACCACACAGCAGGAGGTAAGCAGTGGGCTGTATTTACAGCGGCTCCCTCACTCGCATTACCGCCTGAGGTTAAATCAGCAGTGTCATGAGATTCTCACAGGAGGGCAAACCCTATTAACTGCACATGCTTGCAGTCTAAGTTGTGCACTCCTTATGAGAATCTAATGCCTGATGACTTGAGGTGGAGCAGTTTCATTCTGAAACCATTCCCCCTGTTCTTCCCTAGTCTGTGGAAAAATTGTCTTCCATGACACCAGTCCCTGGTAAGGTTGGCAACACTGATGTAGAGGGTAGAACAAGATCCCTGCGTGACCCAGGTGACTTTAAACATGGCTCACATCCCTTTTGTGGTGTGGTGGCCTGTGCCTGTAGTTATCCCAGCTACTCGGGTGGGAGGATCACTGGAACCCAGACGTTTGAGATTGCAGTGAGCCTCAATTGTGCCACTGCACTCCAGCCTGGGTGTCAGAGAGACCTTGTCTCAGATAGATAGATAGATAGATAGATAGATAGATAGATAGATAACTTGGAAGGACCAGCCTATGGAGACAGGCAAGCATTTTGTTTCTAGCTTCTGCATGGCCCTGTGTGTTGAGAGAGGTCTTTGGCTGAGGGTGGCGATTCTGCATGGAGTCTCTCCACCACTTGGTGGCATTGCTCACAGTGTCTTCTTACTTCTAAACACCATTGAATTGGAGCAAGTAGATGATTTGCCACATTTTTACCAGCTAGTTTGGAGGTTGAATATAGAATTTTACTGGGATATACCAGTAAAATTACGGAATGTGTAATTTGGGGAGCAAGTTTCTCTTGATAATGTACCAACACCTTCCTTAGTATTGAAATCACAAAAATTCAGAAATGCACACATCTCTATGGTCAGACATCCATACAGGACAGAGCAATAAAAGGCCTTTTAAGTTTGCCAGATTTCCTGACCAGGGGGAAGCAAGAGAGTAGATAAGTGTGCAGCAGTCACAAACCAGGCCTATGAGAACCTAGTTGGGAACAGAATGTAAGAGGATAGGGAGTGATGGGGACTACTGTGAGTGGTAGGCACATGCCCATCTAAAGGCTCCACGTAACTGTTGCCCTGCAGGAACGTGGGCCCCAGTGTTCACCAAACCTTTTTTTTTTTTCCCCCATAAAGAGAAGCCAGAAATCCAGATATTAATACAAAGTATCCAGATAGAAGTGTTGGTAAATTTTTAAAATTTTGAACATTGTGCTGCCCAAAGAAGGTATCTGCAAGCCAAGTACAAACCAGCAGTTCATGCCCTCTGTTAAGTGGAAAGGTCATAGACTGAGCCCATTACATTGGAGGTCAGATTCTAGCACTAATTTTCTCAGATTTCTAATGCCCAATGAAAATACCACTTTGTTTGCAAAAGGTTATTAAAAAGAATAGATCATGTATGTAGACACAGAGCTTGCCACCTATTAGGTGCTCAAAAGCATTCTTCCCTCACTTAAGGAAACAATACAGGCATAATATAACAGTATTGTTATGATCAAGCTCATTATCAGGAGGCATACACCTAAACAACAGGGGAGTGAGCACCTACCACGGACAGATCTCTGCTGGGTTGTCTGGGGCCAGCAGTTCCCAACCTGGCAATTCTTCAGCGTTGTCAGAATCAACCAGCAGCTTGTCCAGATATGGTTGATTAGATATGCTGGTCCAGAGTCCCACTCATATTATACCTAGTGTTCTGTGCCTATTATACCCAGATTTATGAGATTCTCGCCTCCCATGCAGTCTAAAAATCTGCATTCTAATTAGTTCCTCAGAGGAAACTCTTTTGCAGCCAGTTTGCACTGGTCTGTGGGTTGGTCATTTATGGAAACCACTGCTCCAGGGAATGAATCATTATTTCCAGTCCCATTAGGGAAAGAGGATATGCATATGCACACGTGTAAGGAGGAGTGACAATACTTAGACAAAAGCTTTGTAGAGCTCTGATTTTTTGTTGTCTCTGATGAAGTGCTGACTGATGACATCAGACAGTAGCTGTTGACAGTGTACCTGGGGAAAGCTAAATGCAAAATGGAAGCGAACTGTGCCATGAAGTGAGATCAGGATGATAGGGTCAGAAACATGGAGAGGGTGGCTCAGACGGACAAAGGAGAAGAGGCAGGATTCAACTGGTGCATTTTGGAGGCAGTGCAGCCTGCGTGTGCTGAGTTGAAGGTGCACGAGGAGCATAGTAGACAATAACAGGAAGGCAGGAGCCATGAAAACCTTTGAAGGTCACACAAGTTGTAATAAAAATATTTCACATTGTCAGATATCTTGGGATGGTTGCCAAACACTTTTCTGTGGTTTCCATAAGTACATACCTATTTTATCTATGTATTTATTTATTTATTTTTGTTTTTATGAGACAGAGTTTTACTCTTGTTGCCCAGGCTGGAGTGCAGTGACTAGATCTCTGCTTACTGCAACCTCCGCCTCCCGGGTTCCAGCAATTCTCCTCAGCCTTCCAAGTAGCCTACAGGTGCTATGCCACCATACTCAGCTGATTTTTGTATTTTTAGTGGTCTTGAACTCCTGACCTCAGGTGATCCACCCGTCTCGGCCTCCCAAAGTGCTGGGATTACAGTTGTGAGCCAGCACGCCCGGCCATACATATCTATTTTATATCATTTTATTATAAACTTAAGTTCTTTAATTTCTGTCTTTTTCATATTCACAATCCACTTTGGCTGGAATTTCTCTTGATAACAGACTTTAGACCTTACCACAAGCCCAAGAGGAACTCACAGCTGGGCTTAAAATGCCCCAAGAAGACTGAAGAAAGAGGAGAAAGGAAAAAGGAGTTAGGCAGAAGGGGGAAAACCTAGAAGAGCTCTGGATGTGGAGGAGGCATGCCAGAGAGAGGAGCCCAGTCACAGCTGAGTGCAGCCCAGGAAGGAGAAATGGCCTGGTTGGAGGCCATCCAAGGCCCTTAGGGGTAAGGGGACGGGGCTTCTCTGCTGATGTGATGGTGTTTTCAGTGCCACCCTTCAGGTATCCCGCAGCAGGATCCTCTGCTGCTGATGGCTAAACCCCAGTGCCCACTGGGATTAGAAGGGAGAGGAAGACTTCCACATAGGGATCAGTGGGGAGCCTCCAGAATGGAGTAGGAGATGCCCACGGTCATCATCAGAGGCTGCCATAGTCCCAGGTTCAGAGCAATCATCTTGGCTGATGCCATGGAAAGCAGTAGATCAGGAGTTCAGTCTGCAGTGTTTGCCCTGCACTTGGCAGAAGTGTATGACCTTGAGGGGTTACGTGCTTCCTTCATGCCTTGGTTCCCCCAGTGAATAGTGAGTGAGTTGCATTAGGTCCGTTGTCTTCAGCTTTTATTTGAAACAACATCAGGACCCGAACCTTTCTTCTAGCCACATTTACCTGAAGGACCCATAGCTAAAGTTCCTGTCACGTCTAAGCATTCAGAAAGCCAAGCACGCAGTGCTCCAGCAAGGCCTCAGGAGCTCCCGGAGAATCCCCAACAAGAGAAGTTGGCAGTGCTCCCAGCAGGCAGTGCTCTCATTTGACCTGCTAGAAATCATGGTGGCCACAGGATGGGCCTTTCCAAAGGCCATTTTGCTACTCAGTATACTGGCCAGCCAACTAGGGCAAAGAAGCCACAGGGACCAGAGCAGCCAGCCTGCTGCCTTGGCCTCTCCCCAAGACTGAATATCCACAGGGAGCAGCCCTAGGCCCCGTGGCCTTTCATTGTTGTGCCACCTGGAGAAAGTACGTTTACAGAGCTCCCTGCAGCATGGAGCTGCGAATAAACATCTCTCACTTGGGGAGGGATGGGAGAAAGGAGAGGACTAGATCAACTAAAATATGTTCATTGAGTATCTGCCACTTGGTTTAAAGGATAGTCCTGAGCTTGGAACCAGAAGAAACGCTGGAGGTGGACTGAGACATTGACTGGACTTCTATTTGCCAAATCCCATGCTATGTGTGTTTCATTCATGATTTGTGAATGCTCACCACAGCTCTCTGAGGGATGTACGATCATCTCTTTTTCTAGATAAGGAAGCTGAGGCTCAATCAGGTTAAGTCACTTGCCTGTGGTGTCACACGGATGGAACATTTCTGAGCTGAATTCAAAGCCAGGTTCATCCAGCTGCTGCTTCACCACCCTACCTCCCCTGAACTGGAGTCTGTGATCCACCGCTTAGCAAATCCTGGCACAGCGGCAGTCACCCTGAGCCTCAGTGGCCTCATCTTTGGCAAGGGATGAGGGTCACCATGATGGCCCTAGCTACTTTAGAGTTTTGTAATAAGCCCTAATGAGAAAGTGAATGTGGAACCCTTTAAAACCAAGAACACTTGTGCAAATGTAGAGTATTGTTATGTAAGGAGAGGAAGTGGGTGTCCCCAAAGCAGCAGCTCCTCTTACTTCCTGAAGATGAGAAACTCTGGTGCAGATAGAGAGTCATGCAGGCCTCTGGGTGGAGACCGATGTCCTAAGTTTGTTCTATTCACCTCTGATGGCCCAGGGACCTTAGCAGCTGGACAGAGAGAAAAAGCAGGGAGTAGATGGGGAGGTAGAACCAAGGAGGGAGAATGGCCTCTGTTTTCAATCAAGCAAGGACTCTAGTTCCAAACTGGAATTTGGAGTGTCTGATAGTTATCTTATCAGATATTTAACATGGATGTGATAATTTCAGAGGTAGGTTGGGAAGGACAGGGGTCCAATGAGCTATTGTTGTGAAGGGGGCCACTAGCCACAGCAGCCATGAGAATCCCAAGCTCCCCCTGGCTCCCTGCCAGATCGGGCTACCTGACTGTGCTTCACCCACTGAGGACAATGCCTTCTTGCTTAAAACTGGAGCCTTTTCC